ATTGCTGGAATGAAAAGGTTTCCCATGAAACTCAACACCCAGCCCTCCCTACCAAGAGAATGGAGACTCCTCATCCCAGCAGGCCTCAGCTGGGGTCTCTGGAGCTTCGGAGCTGGGGCTCCCTGGGCAAAGAGCCTCCCTGCCTCTACTCAGGCACACACACACCACATGCTAGTGCACATAGGTACCATACAGATACACACTCGTACGTTCATAGTACTCACATGTGCCCTTAAGTGTACAAGCACACTCGTGCCCAGCTGCCTTCCGGCCCTGCAGGAGTCCACTCCTGTGTAACGTATGTTGAGCTGCCAGCATATTTGCACAGGAACACCCCTCACACCCACGTGCACTAGCAGGGTACTTTCCAAACTCCTTTAGCAAGAGCAGAAGCCTTTTCTTAAGGGAAATATTAAAAGCGTACACCCAATGTATGGACTAAACGGTGCTTGCGAGGAAGGTGAACGACGCAGAGCATGCTCGAGGCCATGCCGCTCAGCCCCTTCCCCAGCCCTGGGGAGGAAGGCAGGAGTCTGGTGTGATCGTTGCTTCTGACCTCTCCTGACCAACATGGGGCACAGGGGCAGGTCTGCCTGAACTCACTCAAGGGAAGGGAGTCAGAATGCGTCCTCAAGCTGCATGGAGGCCATGTGATATGGGGGCTGCACCCTGGACTTCTCCCTCCATATCAACCCTCCCCTCCTGCCCGTGCTGCCCCTCCCATCCTCATCCCAGAACTCATTGATTTTTGGTTTCTGGGGTTTGTGGCTCCCTCTCCCTAGCTTCCTAGCTTACCAGCTGTGGTGATGCTCCACATCCAGGACTGCCCACTGTAGGCAAAGGGAGGGGTCTCAGGTGCTCCCCATACATCCCAGGCCCCACAAACCATCTCACCTGCCTCTAGGTCAGAAGGGTGAACAGGGAAAGCAGGCAACAAGCCCATGGTGGAGACCGCCCCAGGGAGAAGGAAAATGTTTCTCTGGGACCACAGTCTGCCCACTCCAGAGTTCTGGTTGCCAGGGGCAGAATCCTGCTCCCCAAGCCCTGCCTACATATGCCCCTCCCACGGGAGCCTCACAGACTAACCCTTCCCCCTGCACCAACCCCAGGGAACACCAGGAACTCGTGACTCCAGAACCAGGGCCGTGCCCAGCTGGCTGTGCCAGGCAAGGGGGATCAGGCACATCCCCTGGACAACCCTGTCCCCCTGACCTGGAAGGGAACATGCATGGTGGCAGGCAGGGCACTGCACCAGCACCACAGCATTGCTGGTGCCCCTTCCCTTCACTAGGCACCTCCTATCTGCCCACTGCTCCCTGCTTCCAGACTCCAGCAGAGCAATTAGGGGCTGAGCAAAGCCTGTTAACCAGCTCTGAAGGTGGCCATGCCGGGTGCCCTCCTCAGCCAGCTGCACTGCCAAGCCTGCCCATGGAGGGCCTCAGCGGGGCTTTTTTGGAGTGAAGAAGAGGTGGCTATGCCAAGCCAAGACCAGGGAAACCTGGCTGCTGAGTGCTTGAGGAAAGCCGAGCTGTTTCCGTGGCGGCTGGTACCAGGGGGACCAGAGGCCAGGGACCCCTGGCTGGGATGCCAGGGTTCCACAGTACTTTTCTCATGATGTCAGGTGGTTGTCCCCAGGTCCCCCCTGCAGAAAACAGAGCCTGGTGCCCTGGGGAGTAGGCAGCATACATCTGGATACAGGCCTCACTCTGGGCCAGTCCTCGACAGGGGAGACAGCCAGGGAACTCTCCCGCCCACTCGGGTTGGCATTCCCCTTTTTGGCACCCCAGAGAGAAGGAGAGGACTGGCCTGGCTCCTCTGTTGTTGAACAAGGGTTAACCTCCACCGGTGCCCTATATTCCCCCTGTCCTGGATACAGAGCAGGCAGTGTCCATTTCAAGGAGATGTTAGCTCACTGGGGCAGGGGTAGGGGTGAATCTGGGACCTTGTTTCTGAGGCAGCCAGAGCGGAGGGGGAGAGGAACACATGAGCAGCCCCAGCACCTCTGCCTGCAGCAGCTCCAGTGCCTCCCAACCCAACCTTACCCCAGCAAGATGGCCACCAACTTCAGGACTATCAGCAGAGAGGCCTGCTGGAGAAGTCTTTTCTCCCAGGGCACTTTGCCTCTCTCGAGTCTCTGCAGTAAAAAGGACCACCCACCCTCAGGCAAGGGAGTGGGACTGAGGCATTCTGGAGATTCAGCCTTCTGCCTACTAATCCTTGGACCCCTGGGAAGTTCTTCCATATCAGACTTAAATCCCTCCTGCTGTAACCTCTGGGAGAGGCTCGTCTTCTTTTGCCTTCAGGGAAGGAAAGCAGAGAGGAGCCAGCATAGGATGGCTGCCCATGTCTTTAGCACTCTGCACATCACCCTGGAATTCCCTGTTCACACTTGCATCACCAGAACAGAGACTCCTTGAGAGCAGGGACTGATGCCCTGTTTGTTCATCTGTTTCCCGGAGGCACTGTGACCCACTCTCTTAACAGGGCTCTCATGGTTGCACAGCACTGTCTTTATGATCAATAAACAGAGATAGGATCTGAAGAGAAACTTGGAGAGTGCTGGCATAAGCACAGGTAACAGGAAGTGGCCACCCAGACCCACCCAGAGGCTTGCAGGCACAGGTCACTCTGATATTTACAAGGTCTGCCATGCAGAGCTGGATGCCATGCAGGCCTGGGGGCTGGCTTAGCATGGGACTTCAGAGACATACTGACCCCCATCCTGCTCGGTCTGATGGCCCGCTCTCCACCTCTACGCTTCCCTTGGCAATTGCACAGCTCCTCAGACTGAACTTCTCGTCACTCAAGAAGTGGCCCTCAGAAGGTAAATCCCCACAGCCGCAACTCTTGGGCCAATCACTCCCAGCCCACGGCCCCAAGGTCTCAGACCCTACTCTGGGGTTCTCAACCTGCAGCAACCAAGGGGGCCCAGGCCCAGCTCTGGCTCCTGCTGCCCACCCCGGGTTGGGGGGGGTCATCTCTGTCATGAGTGCCTACCTGTGGCCTGGATGTCAAGGGCAGAATTGGCAGAATCTGTAACCTGTGCCTGCCTTTGTCCTGAAGCATGGCCAGAAGACACCCTCCCTTCCTGTTTTCTTGGAGACCACTGCCCAGCTCAAAGCTGGCGACCCACATGGCCTTACTGACCAGCAGAAACCAGGGAGCCCACCCCTGTGCAGAACCTCAAGTCCTTCCAGCAGCCAGGGCCCCCCAGTTTCCTTTGCGCCTAGAAGCCAGGCCCCAGCACCAGAGGGCAGGAGAGCGCTTTTCAGCACCTGGACAAGGCTCTTGGGGCCTCCCAAAATGGTCTTTCTCCACTCCCCATTTCTGAGCTGGGGCTGGGGTCTGAGAGATCCAAGGATATGCCCAGTCTGCGAGCGAAAAGAGAAAGCGCTCCCCGAAGGGGAGAGGGCGCTGGGTGGGGCTGGGGTGCCTGGGAGTGTGACACAGCCTCTTCCCGATCCCTGACCTATGGCCCCCTCCCCATGCAAGCCTTTCCCACCTCCGCACCCTCCCGCGGGAGGTGTCGCCGCTCCACTGGCTGGGGCGGACTCTCCCACCACATGGAACACGGATCCAGCCCGCAGCCCCTCCCTGCAGCCCTCACTGCCCCGGCGGAGGAGGGGCACGGGGGCCTCTACCCCCATCCAGCAGGGTCCGAAACACGTGTGGCCCGCCAGTCCTGGCCGGAGGGGAGCGGGCAGGGGCCGCCCCCATCACCCTTTCCCGGTCAACAAGCACAAAAGCCGCGGCTGCAAACAAAGACGCGCCGCAAACTCGCTGGGGAGGCGGGACAGCCCGCGCCGCGCCCCCTCCCCAGGCCGGACGGGCGTGCCCGGCCGTGGGGTCTCCACGGCGCCCCGACGGCGCTCCTACCTGGCCAGCGCGGACCTCCTTCTCCAGCTCGCGGTGGCGGTTGTGCCACACGAGGTAGTGCAGCGGGTACTTGCCCTCGGGCCCCTTCCTGGCGGAGGCGTTGGCGGGGATCATCGCCCGCTCCTCATGCCGGGGCCGCGGCGCCCGGCTGGGGAGGAGGGACGGCGCCGGAGCCTGGGCCCGGGGCCGCGGGGCTGGGGGCCGGCGCTGCCTGCTCGCGGGGCTGCGGCTCGGGCATGTGCGAGCGGCGGCGGCGGCGGCGGGCGGGGGCGGCGCGCCCCGCGCGGTGCGGGCGGCGCGGGCGACTGGCGTCCTCGCGAGGCGGCGGCGGCGGGTAGCGCGGAGAGGCCCCCACCCGTCCTGGGAGGGAGCGGGCACTCGGCGGCGCGGCGCGGACTCGCGCTCGCCTCCCACACCCCCGCACACAAAGACGCCGCTCAGCGGAGGGAGCAGGAGCCCGAAGCGGGCGCGGGGGCGCACCGGGCGCGGGCCCCGGGGACTTCGCCTCAGGGACGCGCGCCCCCAGCCCCCGGCTCCCCGCAGCCGCATAGCCCGGCCCTCAGCCCGAGCGGCCGGCGAGGGATGCGGGGGAGAGAGGAAAAGGACCGGGCGCCCCGGGTAGAGCTTGTCAGCTCGGCCCCGCGGCATCATGGGGCTTGTAGTCCGCCTCGTGGAACTGGGGGTGGCAGGTGGCCGGAGAGGGTCCGCACTGTTCCCGGATCCCGTGGGAGAGTGGGCAGGGAGTCAGGCCTAGCCGAGACGCGGTCGGGGCCCTGACGCCAGGTGAGCTGGGGCGCACCTCCCCCTCTGGCATTTTGCCTTTTGTGGGGGAAAGAGGGGCACTGGCCTAGGTCAAGCCTTTGGGAGACAGGGTGGAGGTGTAGCCTTCAGAATTGAGCTTGGGTCCCAGGGGCCGTGAAGAAAGATCCGGATTCCCAGAAGAAAGTGACTGATAGGGAACTCCTGAGAAAAGTGTGGGGCACCAGTACGAAGGGTCATTAGCACAACCAGGGGTCTGGCACCTGGAACATTTGTGAGGAGTCTTCCCTGCCCTTTTAGTAAATTAAACTCCATCTTCCACACATGCCATTGGAAACAGAATGTCCAGTAAAGCGGGAAAGAGGGTCCCTCCCCCCCACACACACACTGTCCCCAGCAAGAACCAGAGTGAGGTCGGATGGAGAAAGCAGCAGGTGGTGGCTCCGCTCCTCCACCCAGCTGGTCCCCTCAAGAAGGGAAGTGACTGATTCCAGAGACCTCCTTCCGGAATGACCCCAGAGCAAAGAGGTACTTCCAGAACGATCCCTGCAGAGGGTAAAAGTTGAATTGGCCTCTTAGGCGCCAATTGCAAGACCTAGAAGGATCAAGAGGCTTGGACCAATCCCTGGAGAGGGGACTGTGATGTCAGGGAGACCTGAGTTCGAATTTCTCCAACTGCCTGACATTAAGCAAACTGCTGAATTTTTCCGACTGTCTCGGTCCACTCCCCTTCAAAATGAGACTCTAGATACTACCTCCTGGGGTGAGCTAAGGATAATGACTGCCCTGGAAACAGCGCCTCCCTCCCCCAGCCAGGCGGGCCGGGACTGTTGGCAGGACCAGGCACGGTGCCTTCTTGAGTCCACCTCAGAACAAGGCAGGAATAAGGGATTCCACACCGGCCCTACTTAAAACAACAAACCAAGAAGTGTTTGTGTGGGAGGTGCCAGCAAAAGCTTGCAAACTCTCTCAGGTTTTTTGTGTGGTCTTCTCTCCTCCTCCACACCCTGCGGTGCCAGGCCCTGGCGGGAAGAGATGAGGGAGGAGCGGGCTGCCTCGCCCCTTTCTCCCGCCTAGGAGGAGCCAGCTGGCGTCTCCCGTGGCTCGGGACCGCTGCCCGCCTGCACCACCAGGGGTCAGCAGCGTGTCGCGGCTGCCGCCGGCGCTGGGGAAGGGGCTGACGTGGGGAGGGGCATCTAGGAGAGGCCGGGAGCATGCCTGTGCATTTCCTTATTAAATTGTTTTTTGAAATTGTGTGTGATTCCACTGTAGCAGTCCTGCTTCCTGGGGTGGTGACATCTCCACGGGGGAATCCAGAAACCCTTTTATCTCCAGTCCCAGGCCCAGAAGTTTGGCTGTGGCGGGGCTGGAGGGTCGGAAACAAAGTTTGGACCGTGTGTCCGCATCAGGGCCACTCCCAGATAGTCTCCTAACCAACCCGGGGATGGGGAGTGTTGGGGGTAAGCGGAGTGAATCATCCTTCTTCCCCAGCAAAGCCCAGGAGTCCCAGGACAGCGGAAGTTCAGCCTGGATTGTGGGGAGCTGACCCCTGGGCGGCCGGGTCCTTTTTTTTTTTTTTTTTTGCCAGGCGGTGGTAGACACTGAACCCAGGTCGCCTGCGCTCGGAACCGCGCGCTCAGCTGCCACGTGCTCGAGACGCGCCCACACAGCGGAGAAACAAAGACAACCAAGCGGCAGGGCTGCCAGCAGCCTCCTCGACATTTAAGAAATGAAATTCCATAGCTGGGGGTCGATCGAGGGTGAACAGGCGAGCGGCCACCGCTCGTGGACTGAGCGCCCGGCACCGGTTGCCTGGCCACTCCTCCCGTATTCCCCTTCCCGTACCCACTTCCCGCTGGGGCCACCAAGACCATAGTCTCCTTGCTGAGGGAGCAGCTCGGGGCGGCACGTGGTGCTCCCCCCTACATACCCGTTAGGTATCGTTGCTTGCAAAAGCCCCACCGGCTGAGCGGCTGGCTGTTGGGGGAGGGGAGGCCTGCAAGATTTTTTTAAGGTGCAATTATAAATAAAGCCCAAAGATCGCGATTTCAAACAAACTTGTCAATCTGGGCCGCAGCAAAAGGCGATGGAGGCAGCTTTGCATGTATTTCGGGTGGTGTGACTCATGAGCATTACTTGTCTCCCCTAGGGAAGGAGCCTGCCCACCCACAAGTCACTGCTGCTCTGGCACCGCTGGGATAAATCTACCAACTTGAGCACCCCTGCCCAAGGACTGCCCCCATCTTCTTACCGAGCAGGAGACTCTGACTTTTGGAGAACTCCTCCTCAATTGTCACCACTGATCTGGCCCCCAGGTCTGGCCCTGGGGTCCCCTGCCCTCTCCCCACAAGCAGAGGAATGCCCCGCCTTTTGCTGCTGCAGGGATTGGGGGTTGGGTGCACGCGCGGCACACGTGTACGTGGGAGCATGCTCAGTGCGGGGGCTGCACCCACGTGCGGCCTGCACCTAGGCTCCCTGCCCCCCAGGCCACCCACGTTCCTCACCTGCCTCGCCTTTGCCTGTCTCTTCGTGTGAAGTCCAGAAGAAAAGCCGTCACCTGAAACGGCCCCTCTATGTTATATGAACCCTTTCTGGACACACACACCTCTGGTGGCCCAGAAACACCGTGGGTGTGTATAGGTCGGATGACAAGTGGTTATGCGTGCACATAGGCACAGTGGTCACTCCTCGGGAGGTCTTTAAAACCGCCCAGATTCTCTCCTCTCTGGCTGGAAGCATGCATGGAGAGATGGATGTATTTTTAGTCCGAAGGCAGGAATACACTGCCTGACCTTTCTGGCACCTGGGCGTCCATATTGTGTGGGCGTATTCAGCAAGAGTGTGACACCACACACACACACCTGGACACACAGATGTGGACACTACAGGACCGGGACGTACACCTCACCCCAACCAGAGATAGACGGGTACCCAAGGCACAGCCCCTTTGACGTGGAGCGGGACTTGGGCCTCCAAGTCCTTCCTCTCTTCCCTAATCCCCGCCCTCGCTGTCCCTGGGCCCAGCGTCCCCCCGGCCACCCGACACCGAAAGCGAAGGGGAGGGGGCTGTGAGGGTGACTCACACTGCCTCCAGGCCAGGCGAGCGCTGCAGCGGAGGCCGAGGCCTCAGGCCACGCTGCCTGCCCGGACCTGGCGACGGCCGCGGCCCCTTTAAGCGCCCCCGCCCCCTCCCGCCCGCGCCCGGGCTTCCTTTCTCCGGGGGGCGCGGCCGGCAGCGCGCGGCGGGGCGGGGGTGCAGCCCCTCCCCCGGTGGGCTGGGCCTGCGCCGCTTCCTGCAGGAGCGGCCAGGAGCCGCGCAGGGGGTGGAGAGAGGAGCGGCGAGCGGCGGCAGGGCGGTGCGGGGCGGCGCGGGGCGGAGGGCGCCCGAGGGCGAGCGGGCAGGCGGGCACGGCGGGTTCCGGGCCAGCCCCGGGGCGGACGGTTGGCCGGGCGCGCGGAGCCTCGCCGGGGCCTCGCCGGAGCCGGGCCGGGCAGCAGGGGCCGCCGCCGCCGCCCGGGCCCGCCGCCCGCGCCCCCCACGCTGGCCCAGAGGGCTGCGGCCGCGTCGCCGCTGAGGATGTCCCGGAAGGGGCCGCGAACGGAGGTGTGTGCGGACTGCAGCGCCCCGGGTAAGCGCGGCCGGGCCGGGGGCGGGACCGCACAGCCAGGCAGTCGCCGGACGGGCGCCGGGGCCTGGCGGGACCGCCGTGCGGGGCCGGAGGGCGGGGCGGGGCGGGGGGCCTCGGCCTCCAGGCTCGGCCCCCGCCCGGGCCACTGCGGAGCCGCGTCCTCGGCTGGAGGGCCGGCCTGAGGGGCGCCTGCTCTCTGGAGGCCGTGGACGAGCGAGGAAGGACGTTCCCAGCGCCGCCTCCCACCCCTCGGTCTGAGGGAGGCGGGCAGCTGGCTGCCCCTCCACCTCCATCTCTATATCCGACGGAAGCGCCAGCCTGGGGTGGCATGAGGGCCGTGGCGGAGGCCGGCAGGGCTTGGGAGGTGGGGGCGAGTGTGGTTTTGTGTCATCTCAGTGCCACCCCCGCGTCTTGCACCTGCTGCTCTCGTGGTCGGCACGCCCGCCGGGGTGGTGGAGGGCAAGGAGCAGAGGGCCGGGCATATGCGCCAGTGGGGCCTGGATACCGTCTCCTCAGGAGCAGATGAGCGGTGGCTACTCCCAGGACTCCCTGCCTCGGGTTCTTAAGGCTGGGGCTCCTTGTGAGGCCTGGTGTTCAGGGCCAGTCCAGACCCGGGTGTCTTCCCGGGCGGCATCCCCAGGCCTGCTGGTGGCTGGGAACAGCTCGGCTGGACCCTGCTTTTACTGTTCCCCGGTAAGGCCTGCTTGGGAAAGTGAGCTTGGCATTGAGCTATCCTGGGTCGGGGCTCCTCCCTGTCCCCTAGCCCAGTCTGGCCAGAAATGGATGGGGGGCAGTGGCAAGAAAGTGCCTAGATTCCCCAATCCTGCAGGCTTCCTGGCCTGCCTCCTGGATGTATTTACGTGGTGGTTCCTTTCTCTTTCCTAGCAGAGTTAGGACTGGGCTGGAGTGAAACCCCCCTGGCCTGCTGAGGAAGTCAGGGGTAATGATCCAAGAGGCTGCTCTCTTCTGATGGGGGAGGACAGCCAGTGATGGGGCTCTGCAGCTGACCTGGGAGGGAAGCTCTAGCTCCATCCATTCTTTCTTTAGAAAAGGAGCTGTCTCCCTGGTAGGCCCCTGGGCAGTCTCCGGGGGTCTGTGGACTCTAGGGGGAGTGGGCATGATTAAGAGTGAGAGTATGGGGTGCTGTTTTGTGGACCCATAACTTTCAGCCACCCCTTGAGCAGGCCCAGGACCCCACAGATTGAGCCTCACAGATGCTCTGGTGGTTCTGGGGGTGCCAAGCTAGAGTATTTGGGAACTGGGAACCTGGCAGGGCTTGGGGACAAGATACTTGATGGGCGTTATGACTGGAGGCCTCTTTGGGGCTTATGGTTTAGAGGGCCCTGGAGGAGCTATCTGGGGTGGGGGTCCATACCCCTAAGAAACTGTGACTCCCTTTCCTCAGATGCAGGCAGGTCTGGGGATGGCAGGGCTGAGGACACCTTGCCTTATAAATGTCTGTCCCATTGTTCCGCACCTCCATGGGGTGGGCATGGCATGATGGGAGTAGAGGCTTAGCAGATACCCTATCAGAGGAGCCTGGGCTTTAGTGTGCCTTTGTTCCCGGCTTACTCTGTAACCCCAGCAAGACTTTCTTCACTGTGGGGGCCTCAGTTTCCTCAATTCTGAGGCAAAGAAGTTGGAGTAGAAATTGTTTTTGAGGGGCTGCCATCTCTGAACCTGTGGTCTGATTCTGGGCAGAGAGGTGTAGGGCAGCACCAGCAAGGCAGTTATCCGTTTTTGTTTTTTTTTTTTTTGAGACGGAGTTTTGCTTTTGTTACCCCGTCTGGAGTGCAGTGGCGTGATCTCTGCTCACTGCAACCTCTGCCTCCTAGGTTCAAGCAATTCTCCTGCCTCAGCCTCCTGAGTAGCTGGGATTACAGGCATGTGCCACCACACCCAGCTAATTTTGTTTTTTAGTAGAGACAGGGTTTCTCCATGTTGGTCAGGCTGGTCTCAAACTCCCAACCTCAGTTGATCCACCTGCCTCAGCCTCCCAATGTGCTGGGATTACAGGCCTGAGCCACCAAGCCCGGTTGGGAGTTGTCCTTTCTACGTTCCATTGAGTATCTGGCCAAAGCCTCTGGATACCCAGTGGGCTCAGGGAGGAATGTTGAGCGTGCAGTATGTTGGATTGCCCAGCTCCTACCCCCAGGTTCTCATCTGTCAGAGGCATTTGTGCCCCAGATATCTCCTTTCCCCTGATCCTCAGTAGAGGTCAGGAAGGTGGTGAGGCCGGGCGCGGTGGCTCAAGCCTGTAATCCCAGCACTTTGGGAGGCCGAGGCGGGTGGATCACGAGGTCAAGAGATCGAGACCATCCTGGTCAACATGGTGAAACCCCATCTCTACTAAAAATACAAAACATTAGCTGGGCATGGTGGTGCATGCCTGTAGTCCCAGCTACTCAGGAGGCTGAGGCAGAAGAATTGCTTGAACCCAGGAGGCGGAGGTTGCGGTGACCCGAGATCGCGCCATTGCACTCCAGCCTGGATAACATGAGTGAAACTCCGTCTCAAAAAAAAAAAAAAAGGAAGGTGGTGAGAATGGTGGTGAGGGGAGGATGTGGACAAAGTCTTACGCATTATCCCACCTAGCACCCAGCAACATTTCTGGCATGTGGCAGGCACTCCCTGAGTGTTTGTTTGGCTGCTTGTCAGCACCCTGGCTGGCTGCTTGGGACTGTCCCACACCCGGACACTAGGATGCTGGCCCTGGCGAGCAGTGGCACATTTGGTCTGGGTCCTGTGGCATCTCAGGCAGAGAGGTATGAGGGTACCCCGTAGTCTGGAGTCCAGATCCAGTGCCAGCACCCATGGTGTATGACTCCACCCCAGGGTCACAGGCTTCTCTTATTGCAGGAGCCCTGCAGTTCCAGCCACTTGAGTAGGCTCAGGGGCTTTTGTGCTTGGTTAATTTGGGAGGTCATGGAGGTCAGAGGTGAGATGCAGCCTGTCCCCAGAGAGCCCCTTGCTCCCTCTGCTCCCAGGCCTGGTTACACGGGACAAGTGTGAGTGTGTTGCGAGGGAGCTGGACATGGTGTGACTGCTCTGGCAGCTTTTGCCACCTAGTCAGGTACCGTGTGCCCTGGCTGCCTGGGGAGTCCGAGAGGAAGGGGCCGGGGAGCCCTGGAGAATGTGCATCTTCTCCTTTCCTTTGCCTTGGCTCACCTTGCCACAAGGTCTCAGTCAAGGGCCTCTCTTCACCCCATGGGCTTCTATCTCAGCCTTTCCACTTCGGCAGCCCTGGGGACGAGAGTGAAGGCCTCAAAATGCCCATCCTGTAGGCACCTCTGGTGAGCAAGGCTGGGGACATGTCACAGGACCAATTGCAGGCTGTTTCGTCTCTTCATAGTGTAGATTGCAGAGTGGGACGAATGTTGGGCTCCTCTTCCTCCGTTGAGGTAGAACTTGCGTGTGTCAGTGCCCACCCCTGAGTGTTCATCCTGAGGGGCTTTTACATGTGTGTATACCTGTGTAACCACCACTCTGATCACATTATAGAATAGGGGTATCCAATCTTTTTACTTCCCTGGGCCACCCTGGAAGAATTGTCTTGAGCCACATGTAAAATATGTTAACACTACTGATAACTGAGGAGCTAAAACAAGCCAAAAAAAAAATTAGAAAAAAGTCTCATAATGCTTTAAGAAAGTTTATGAATTTGTGTTGGGCTGCATTCAAAGCTGTCCTGGGCCACCTGTGACCTGCAGGCTGGACAAGCTTGTTATAGAACATTTCCATCACTCTAAGGGGCTTCCAAGTCCCCGCTCCCAGTCAGTGCACCCCAGAGGTAACCACCATTCTGACTACCCCAAGGACTACTCTTGCCAGCCTTCATGATGTGGGCTTTTCCCTTAGTCTAGTGAAGACCTGGCCCTTAGCTCAGGGAGGGAGGCCTGAGGCTGGCCTATATATGCAAACCTACTGGCCCTGGAGGCCACTGATGGCTTCAGGTGGTGGCAGGAATTCACTGTAGTAGAGGCCTCCGTGGGGTTGGCACTGGTTAACGTGATCCCAGGGTCACGCCGACTACCTCTCCGCACATATAGACCCACAGCCTGACGGTGGAGCCAGAAGCCCAGGAGAGGGCTGACAAATTCCCTTACAGTTCCTGTCCCTTCCGTCCCAGGTTTAGTCCAAGGAACCTCTTGAGGCAAGGATCCCTTCACCTTAAACTATAATCACTGTGTGACTTTCAGAAACACTTTCTGGCCCTTCTGCTTTGGAACTGGCCTGGGTGGAGCCTGGGGGCTCCTGCCTGGGTAGAACCAGGGGCACTTGCACAGAGGGAGAAGAGAAAATGGTTAGAGTGGGTCCCATCTGTGTCATCGAGAACTGAGCTGACACCAGTGTCAGCTGCCCCGACCAGGACAGTGTCCTTTGCCTACCATTCCTACTTCAGGTCTCACCTGGAAGAGAGGGAGAACCCCTCCCCCAGCTGGGGGAGGGTGCCAGGCAAACCATTGGACCACATTCCTGCATCCTGGTCTTGGTTACTGCCACATCCAGGGTCAGTTCACTACATCTGGTCTGCCCACACCTTGGGGCTCTGGAGCCACTGGCCGTGGATATCTAGTCAGCCTTTCCAGGCCTGGCTTCTCCAGTAGGACCACAGACCTCAGGGAAGCCCATTTATGATCCTGCCCTGGGCGGCTCCCCACTTACAGGAAACCCCACCATTTCAGCAAGAGGAATTTGGGCTGCATCATTTCCGGCTTCCTGCCTGGGCTGCCGGAGGTGGCTGGTGGCAGCCCCCTGACCCAGTGGTGTTTGGAGTGGGGAGAGGGAGCTCTCCATGCCTGGGGTGCTTCATTGTTTGGGTGAAGCCAGCACAGAAATGCATGTTAGGGCTCCCCCTCTTGGCGAAGAAGGCTGGTTCCTTCCTCCTGAGCTCTGTAGTCAGCCCCTGAGGAAGGTGTTGCTGGTCACCTTGGGCATCCCTCTGTTGCCCTGATTTGAAGGGGGTCCCTAAAAAAGCCTAAACCCAAAGACAAGCCTCTCTCCTTCCTGTTTTCATGCCTTAGTTGGGGGCACTTGCTGTGGGCAGAGCTCAGGCTGGGCCCCTGACTCAGTCTCCTCAGTTCTCCTGGGAACTTTGGTGGAAGTCCTTGGAGGGGAAGGGCCTAAGAATTGCCTTCTGGTTGGGAGAGATTCTTATCCCCCCAAACTTGTCCCTCCCCTGGCGGGTACACTTCTGAATACCCTGAGCACTATAGGGCAAGGCAGAGAGCCAGTCCCCCACCCCCACTCCCACCCCAGGACAGGGTTTCCTGAGACAGGGTGGGGGCCGCTGGGCAGAGCAGAGTGTCCTGGGAGAGAGGCACCCTGCCCCCACTCTCAGGCGGCACACAATGGCCGCTTTCTCCCCCGTGACCTTTCCGCAGCCTGAGTTGTATGCAGCTGTCTCCTCCCCATATCCCAAGGGGCCTAGGATGGGTGGGATCTGCTCCTGCCTTGAGAAGGACCCCAGAACTTCCACCCAGTCCTGGCTCTGCTTCTTCTTTCCAAAGTTCACTTTTCCCTACAGAGTGGAGAACGGGCTGCTATATGGGCAGAGGGACAGCAGCAAGTGTGGACATGGTATGGTCTCAGGCATCAGAGTGCCACATCCTGGCAATTCCACTCATTAGCCTTGCAACTTTGAACAAGCCCTTTAACCTCTCTGAGCCTTTGTTTCCTCATCGCAGAGGTAGCATGTCCTACCCCACCTGACAGTTGTAAGCAGCATTATATATAATGCACCCAGCTGGTACCCAGTGGGTGCCCAGTCAAGCCCAGCTCCTTTGCTCTGTCTGTCCTCCTTAAGAGGGCTCCAGCTCACACTCTCAGTGATGGTGGCAGGAAGCTCCAGCATGAAAGGACCTCACCTGCTGGCAGGTGGGCAGTCAGGACCTGTGGATGGGTGCGATCTGTCAGGCATGTTTTGACAGCATCTGGCACACAGCAGCATCAGGGTTTCATCCCCTTGAGGATTCCTACCTCCCTACGGGAAGGGCTGGGGTAGACGCCTTGTTTCTTCGGAAAAGGCTAAGAAACTGGTAGCAGTGGCTGCAGGGCAGGGAGCTGTGCCTGCTGAATGGGCCCCGGGGACTGCATATCCCAGAGGGGTAAGGATGTAGGAAAGGGCATGGCTCTGTCTGCCCCTAGCTGTGAGCCCTTGGGGAGATCCTTCCCTGGTAACCTGACTATAGTGATGGTCCCAGCTCCTACGCTGTTGGGGACTAAGTAAATGTGTGGAGAGTACTAAGCATAGCATGGGCCAGAGCAGGTCCTCAGGAGGTCTGACCCATGGTCTGGCTCTGGCTGACCCTTGCCCTCCTCCTGGCAGACCCTGGCTGGGCATCCATCAGCAGGGGTGTGCTGGTGTGTGACGAGTGCTGCAGTGTGCACCGGAGCCTGGGACGCCACATCTCCATTGTCAAGCACCTTCGCCACAGCGCCTGGCCTCCCACACTGCTGCAGGTACAGGGCTCGGCCGGGTGGTTCTTCCTTCCCCACAGACAGAGTGTTCTGAGCATGAGGACGTTTTCCCCCTCACCCACATATACCCCTGTCTGGAATCTGCAGCTTCCAAGGGGCAGCACCCCCTGGGGAAGAGCCTAATTCTGACCCTTTTCTCCCATCTGCTCACTTCATGGAGAAGGGCAGCACTCACCCCCGCTCTGCCACTTGCCAACATGAGCATGGTCGTATAGCATTGAGCAAGTCGCTTCACCTCTCTGAGCCTTGGCACATTCACCATGCGACCTGAAGCGCTACACTGGATCTGTTTCTTTGGGCAACTGGACTAGAGGGAGGTGTGATGGTGCAAGCACACAGTAGGCCCCCATGGTACTGTTTCCAGCTACACCAGCCGCAGCAGGTGCTCAGGAGGTGTTTCCCCAGTGCCCAGCATGCAGTGGGCACTCTCTCACTTGGCATCTCTTCCCCGCAGATGGTGCACACGCTTGCCAGCAACGGGGCCAACTCCATCTGGGAGCACTCCCTGCTGGACCCCGCACAAGTGCAGAGTGGCCGGCGTAAAGCCAACCCCCAAGACAAAGTCCAGTGAGTGGGGCTGGAGGGGTGGTGGGCAGAGACTGCGCAGTCTGGGACAGGGCCTTGGGAGGTGGCAAGGTGACCACCCTCTCCCACTGTGCTCCCCTTTCCTCCTGTGTGCCCCATGCAGCCCCATCAAGTCAGAGTTCATCAGGGCCAAGTACCAGATGCTGGCATTTGTGCACAAACTTCCCTGCCGGGACGATGATGGGGTCACCGCCAAAGACCTCAGCAAGGTTTGAGGGGCCCTACAACAGATGGGTGGCCTCCTGCTCTTCCCACCCACGACTCCCTGAAGGCCTCTCCTTTGTCCCCACTGAGCCCTGGGCCCCAAAGGCAGGGCAACAGTAAGCAGGATGGAGAGACCAGATTGCTAGGTCAAGCCGCGTCCAGCTGAGGCTCGTCAAGCTCCCAAGTGGACACACAAGGCTAGAAGCCCACAACTGCCACTCAGAAGCTGGGAAAACCTGGGATAGTTGCTTAGCCTCTCACAGCCCCAGTTTTCTCATCTGTAAAATGGGAAAGAAATAACAGCATCTACTTCATAAACAGTATCTAAGCAGAGCACCCAGCACACGTAGATGGTGACTGATGGCAGCGCATATTAATTGGCATTAGCCCCTAGTGGGAAGCCTCCGTCCTCATGACACAGCCTGGTTTGGGCAGTCCTCCTTGGAGCTGGTAGGCGTCCCGGGGCAGCCGGGGCTGGGTGCAGCTTTTGAGTGGGGAAGTGCGCCTTGTGCACATGCGTATTCATTGCACACTCTGCTCCTCTTAGCAACTGCACTCGAGCGTGCGGACAGGCAACCTGGAGACATGTCTGCGCCTGCTATCTCTGGGTGCCCAGGCCAACTTCTTCCACCCAGAGAAGGGCACCACACCTCTGCACGTGGCTGCCAAGGCAGGGCAGACACTGCAGGCTGAGCTGCTTGTAGTGTATGGGGCTGACCCTGGCTCCCCTGACGTTAATGGCCGCACACCCATTGACTATGCCAGGTGAGGGTCGGCTAAAGGGTGCAGTGTGGGTGGGTGTGGGTGTGGGTGAGGGCTGCTGCTGCAGGACTGAGCCATACCCCCTTCCCACAGGCAGGCGGGGCACCATGAGCTGGCGGAAAGGCTGGTTGAGTGCCAATATGAGCTCACTGACCGGTTGGCCTTCTACCTCTGTGGACGCAAGCCGGGTGAGCAGAGCTTGGGGCGGCCCTAGCTGGGCTGGGCAGGTGGGACCTGGACACACCCTGCAGCAGGTGCCATGGTAACAGAGCAGCTGGGGAGCAATGTTGCTAGGCAACTGGCTCCCGTGAAATTGCTGCAGGCTCTGGGCTGCAGCAGTGCTGGGGCTAGGGAGTGGGGGTGGGCATCCTGCATCCTCACGCCAGCTCCCAGCACTCCTGGGGGTGGCCTGCCCCCCCCCACTTTCTCCTGACACTTCTGGGTGCCAGCCCTGCTCATGGCAGTGAGGTGGGCTCCCAGCTGCCGAGGCCACCCAGCACTAGTGAGTGACTTGGCATTTTTATTTTTGTTCAGATCACAAGAATGGGCATTACATCATCCCACAGATGGCTGACAGGTGAGTGCCCACCTGATGCCCCTTTCCACATGGCCATGTTGGATGCCATGTGGGCACCTGACCCCCAGAGCTTCCAGCCCAGGCTTCAGGGGCCTGAGACCCTGCTCCCTCCCCACCCCCAGAGACTGGAGGCACAGCTTAGTCGTCAGTCCCTAATGCTGGGCCCCAGAGGAGATAAAAAATGTCAGCTCCGTACGTGGCCAGCACAGCCTGAACCCCATGACTGTCAAGTACATGAAGGGCGTGGGTGTAAGAAGCTACCTCCAGCTGGGAGGGTGGGTCACTGGGTTCTTCCCAGTAGCACTGACCCTACTGTCTTTAGACAAGCCTCTGCTCTTAAATGAAAAGATGGGGGGGCTCCAGGGATGTGACTAACTTTGAGACTGCTAGCCAGGCCTCTGTAGCATGCTCAGAAATTGGGCAGGTGCCCTGGGGCTGGTCAAATGAGGCATTTCTGCCTCTGTCTGAGAGGCCCCAAGTGCCCAGGCAGTGTGGGACACCCCCTGCCACTCACCCAGCACATAAGATGGATGCTAGTGCCACCTGGTGGCCACCTCTGATGGCCACATCCTCATGCCAGGCTGTACCTGCTGGCCTGGATCTGGAGAGAGGAGGTGCTCTCTTCCCCAGAGGCCTGTGTGGGCAGATGGGCATTGCCAGGCCTGGGCTACTCAGATCCTAAACCCAGACCTCCTCAAGAGCCTAAGGCCCCTACTTCTATGGTCTGATTCTACCTGGGCTCTGTGTGCATGAGTGTGTGTGTATGGTGAATAGACCCCAGTATGGGCTCCATTCAACAGCACATTAACTGAGCACCTTCCCTGAGCCAGCTACTGCTCTTGGGACTGGAAGCACAGAGGCACCTGAGACACAATCCCTGCCCTTCAGGAGCTCACAGTCTAGCCAGGGAGGCAGCCTAGGAGGTGATTCTAGTCCCCGTGGGGGAGTGCAGCAAGAGAGGCTGAGGCATGGAGGGTAGAAATGTTGCATGGGAACTGAGGCAGCTCCCAGGGCTGGAGCAGCACGGCATAAAGGCCGGGAATCCCACAAGCAAGACTGGAATAGAGATGGGGAGAAGAATGAGCAGCTCCAAGAACATCGCCAGGACCTGTGACTCCTGGGAGGAGAGAGTTCCAGGCTCGGAAGCATGAAGTAAGCTCTGCTGCTTACTGGCTGTGTGACTTGTAGGCCTCCTGCCTTCTCTGAGCCTTGATTACCTCTTCTGGAAAATGGAGATGGCAGTGTCTGCTTTCAGCGAGGAGAGACTTAGATAACATATGCAAAATTTAGCTTTTGTTTAAGAGCTGGGGTCTCACCCTGTAGCCCAGGTTGGAGTGCAGGGGCTTGATCATAGCCCACCGCAGCCTCAAGTGCCTGGCCTCAAGCAATCCTCCTACCATGGCCTCTTGAGTAGCTGGGACTAAGGCATATGCCACTATGCTCAGCTAATTTTTAAATTGCTTTTGTATCTCTGTGTTGCCCAGGCTGGTCCTGGCCTCAAGCAAACCTCCCACCTTGGCCTCCCAAAGTGCTGGGATTACAGGTGTGAGCCATTGTGCCTGGCCTGAGGGTATTCTAATGAAGTTGGTTGGGGTGTGCCATATGCACCTCTTATTACTGCAGTGCTTGAAGGCAAGGGATAGTGCAGCCAGGTGTGTCCAAAACATCACCCTGGCTGTGGGTGCAACAGGATTGTAGAGGCAAGACTAGAAAGAGGGAGATTAAGAAACTTGCAAAGCCCAGGCAAGAAGTAGTGATTGTGGAACCGGGGAGTTTCACTAGGACTGCAGGGTGAGGGAGGCTTCAGGTGGCTGACACTGGTGCTGGATGAACACGTCACTGAGAGGCAGAGCAAGACCAAGGGGGAGGGGTGGGGGACACAGTGAGACGAGCTCAGCTTTGTCCCTTCTGGGCTGGGTGTGCGTGGAGGTGGGTCTGGGCCTGACACGAAAAGGTGTGTATGCTGCCCTGCTCCTGGGTAACTGCTGCCTCTGTCCTGTTCTTCCCTCTGCTGCCTTCCTCTGGACTTAGATCTCGACAAAAGTGCATGTCTCAGAGGTATATGGTGCCTGCCGGGGCAGCAGGCCTAGAGGTGGGGTAGGGCGGGAAGGCGTTTGGTGTGCAGCATCTGGGGTGCTGTCTCCCTGGGATCCGTGCATGTTGGGGAGGTTGCTGGCACGAGTCTGGCCACCTCTCAGGTCTCTCCCCTTCTCCCAATTCCCGTCTCCCTCCGCCCGCAGCCTGGACCTATCCGAATTGGCCAAAGCTGCTAAGAAGAAGCTGCAGGCAGTAAGTCTGCTCCAGCAGTGCCCTGACACTCGGAGCTGGCCCTTCTCTGATCCCCCACCCCCTGCTCTTGCTTCCCCTTCCTCTGACTTGATGCCCTTTTCCAAGTCTTGGACCTGTCCCCTCACTGGCCTCAGCAGTCCTTTCTCCCTGACCTCCCCGTGAGTGGATGGACTGGCCTGTTCTCTCCCACGCTGCAGCTTGGAACACGACCACTGCCCACTTGCCAGTTCTGAGACTGTAGGGCCGGGCGGCGCAGGGAAGGCCACCTTCCCCAAGGCTCACCACATCCTGGGGAGCTGGCCTTGGCACAGGGGCCGATCCATCTGACAAAATCTGGGCCCCTTTCTTCCTCCAGCTCAGCAACCGGCTTTTTGAGGAACTTGCCATGGACGTGTATGACGAGGTGGATCGAAGAGAAAATGATGCAGGTGAGTCGGGGAGCAGGAGTGTCTGGTGTGGAGGACCCGAGCAGCCAGGACATGGGTCTCTGGTCCTTTACTGGGCAAAGAAGGGGTGCTTGGGGTTGGGGCTGCTCAGAGGCCTGCAGATGAGCCCCTGCTGGCTGTGAGCCTGCCTGGGCAGCATCCCAGGCTGGGCAGAGTGCTGAGGGGAGGAGGCTAGCTTGCTCCTCCCCCAGCCTCAGACTGGGGCTCCTCTCGCTCTGGCAGCCTCCCACTTTGGCTGTCTCCCTGGTACTGCTCCGCCCCCCGTATCACTCCTTCCTGGCCACAGCCAGATTCCAGCCCAAACTCTAGGTCTGGCTGGGTGGGACCAGCCTTGTTCCATTTGTCCGTCCCAGCAAGCCACGCCCAGCCTTGCCCTGTGTGCCTAAGACCACCCCTGCTCTGAACACCAGTGCTCGGTGGGCATGGGGGCAGCTAGGAAGGCCAGGCTCAGTGCTTCCCTACCCACACCGTGGGGGCCTGGCCACCGTGGCTGATCTGCTCCTTTCCCTCCCCCACAGTGTGGCTGGCTACCCAAAACCACAGCACTCTGGTGACAGAGCGCAGTGCTGTGCCCTTCCTGCCTGTTAACCCGGAATACTCAGCCACTCGGAATCAGGTGAGGGGGTTGGGTTGGGGGTCTAGGGTGGTCTCCTTCATCCCTGTGGTCCCTCCTCACCTGGCAGTGGGCTAGGGCCTAAGCCAACTCTCCAGCATTTGCCAGGGCCTCCCTCAGGGCCCAGCTGGCACTGGGATTTGGGAAGGGGCAGGAGGCCATTCTTTTGAGCAGCTCCAGGGGGTATTCGGGCCTCTGCCCAGGCACCCTCCTCTGTCATACCCGGCCCCGGGTGGCCTCGGCTGTTGACTGGCCAGGTAAAGCTGGGCTGGGATGCTTTAGCTGGGGTTAAATTAGATGGCAGGGCCATGCCTTGCTGCTTGGTCCCTACCCCCATCCATCAGTCATAAGGGGTCCCTTGAGGCCAGCCTGGCCCTTTCTGCCTTGCAGGGGCGACAGAAGCTGGCCCGCTTTAATGCCCGAGAGTTTGCCACCTTGATCATCGACATTCTCAGTGAGGCCAAGCGGAGACAGCAGGGCAAGAGCCTGAGCAGCCCCACAGGTGGGGGGGGCGCTGCAGGTTGTGGGCAGCGGGTGGGGCTCCAGGAGCTTCTCTTGCATGGCTCTCCCTGCCAGGGGTGGCCTGAGAGACAGATCCTGTGGTAGAGTGAGGCCTAAGTGACAGTCCTGTGTCCTCAGACAACCTTGAGCTGTCTATGAGGAGCCAGAGTGACCTCGACGACCAGCACGACTACGACAGCGTGGCCTCTGACGAGGACACAGACCAGGAGCCCCTGCGCAGCACTGGCGCCACTCGGAGCAACCGCGCCCGGGTCCGAGGGCCGCCCTCCCCAGCCCTCCCACCCACTCCACGGAGGCCCAGCTCTGTCCTCTTGTAGCCCAGGGGCCTGGGGGACAGGCGGGCTGCTCGTAACCTTAATAACTGCCCCCTGTGGGTGTTGGCTCCCCTGCCTCCGGCTCTGATCGCCTTAGGTCTCTCTCTGCAGAGCATGGACTCCTCGGACCTGTCTGATGGGGCTGTGACGCTGCAGGAGTACCTGGAGCTGAAGAAGGCCCTGGCTACCTCGGAGGCAAAGGTGCAGCAGCTCATGAAGGTCAACAGTAGCCTGAGTGATGAGCTCCGGAGGTTGCAGCGAGAGGTGAGGGTGCAGCCTCAGTGGGAGGGAGGGGGAGCCCCAGGACTCCAAGGGGTTGACAGCACTTTGCACCCACAGATCCACAAGCTGCAGGCAGAGAATCTGCAGCTCCGGCAAACTCCGGGGCCGGTGCCCACACCCCCACTCCCCAGTGAACGGGCAGAACACACACCCATGGCACCAGGCGGGAGCACACACCGCAGGGACCGCCAGGCCTTCTCCATGTATGAACCAGGCTCCGCCCTGAAGCCCTTCGGGGGCCCACCTGGGGATGAGCTCACTACGCGGCTGCAGCCTTTCCACAGCACCGTGAGTCACCTGTGGGTCTCACAGCATGGGGAAATGGGTAGGGCTGCCACAGAGTCCACCGTGACTTTTGCTGTGCTAACATCCCCAGGAGCTAGAGGACGACGCCATCTATTCAGTGCATGTCCCTGCTGGCCTTTACCGGGTAAGCAGAGCCTGGGGAAAGCAGCTCCATCTTAGCCAGTAGGTTCTGAGCCCCAGGGGGTGCTGGGCTCTGTGCTGAATGCGGGGCCTAAGATGATTAGACCGACCCTGTCCCTGCCGGACTTCCGGCGAGCGGGTGCGGTGGGGCACTCTGACTCCATCCAGCACTGCCCTGGGTTTCAGATCCGGAAGGGGGTGTCTGCCTCGGCTGTGCCCTTCACTCCCTCCTCCCCACTGCTATCCTGCTCCCAGGAAGGAAGCCGCCACACGGTAACATTTCCATGCCCAGTGCTCACAGGGTGGCTGGGGGCCTTGTGGTTCCAGGAACACATGCACTCACCGCCCCTTCCCTCCGCCCTCCAGAGCAAGCTTTCCCGCCACGGCAGCGGAGCTGACAGTGACTATGAGAACACGCAAAGTGGGGACCCGCTGCTTGGGTGAGGCTCCTTGGGTCTCCAGCCCAGCCTGCTCACATGCTGAGGCAGGGAGGTTGGGAGGACCCCCAGCGTGTCTGTGAGGACCTAGGCAGGCGGCTCCAAGGCTGGAACATTTCTTTCTCTCTCTCTCTCTTTTCTGGACCTGGGCCTTAGGCTGGAAGGGAAGAGGTTTCTAGAGCTGGGCAAAGAGGAAGACTTCCACCCAGAGTTGGAAAGCCTGGATGGAGACCTAGATCCTGGGCTTCCCAGCACAGAGGATGTCATCTTGAAGACAGAGCAGGTCACCAAGAACATTCAGGAACTGTTGCGGGCAGCCCAAGAGTTCAAGCATGACAGGTACAGGGTTAAGGGGGTGTGGTTCCTGTTGGCTTCTGGGGTGTTGTAGAGGGTATGAGGAGCCCTATGTTCTGGTGTCCCTGGGAACCTCCCTCGGGAGCCCCCTAATTTATACCCTCCCTTCTCCCCGCAGCTTTGTGCCCTGCTCAGAGAAGATCCATTTGGCTGTGACTGAGATGGCCTCCCTCTTCCCAAAGGTGCAGGGGCCAAAGAGAGGACCAGGAGTGGGGGGGAGGCCTCGGGCTGGGACAGATGTGGAGAATCCCATCTGACTGCTACCTGGGTGGAGACTCAGACAAACTGGGCCCTGATCGCAGCTGGTGGCTTAAAGTCTAAGGTCCAGCCTCACTCCCCCACCCTCCAGAGGCCAGCCTTGGAGCCAGTGCGGAGCTCACTGCGCCTGCTCAACGCCAGCGCCTACCGGCTGCAGAGTGAATGCCGGAAGACAGTGCCCCCAGAGCCTGGCGCCCCAGTGGACTTCCAGCTGCTGACTCAGCAAGTGATACAGTGCGCCTACGACATCGCCAAGGCTGCCAAGCAGCTGGTCACCATCACCACCCGAGAGAAGAAGCAGTGACCTCTCCCCCCACACCCTCACCTGCACCCTAGGACCTCACTGGCCACAGGAGCTGGGCCACTCCAGACATTAATCCCCACCCCAACAGAGCCACTGGCACAAGTGCCCTTAGTGCTGCCACTCTCGCTGGCAGTCAGGCGCCCTGGTGCCCACCCCTGTCGAGCCCCTAAGGATGGGGAGGTGGGGTGGCAGCAGCTTCTGTCCCCCACATTCCATGCACCTCTCCCTTGTATATAGCATCTCCCCACCTCCTAGTGAGCAGGGGCCTGCAAGGCATCACTCCCAGCCCCTGGCCCTCTAGGGCACCCTCAGCAAAGGGGCGGGTGGGGACACTCCAAGTGGGGCAGCTCTCCCCACACACGCCCCACCCCCATGAGCCAGTTCAGCCCTATTGGGGGCTGAGCGGGGGCATCCCCTCCTTTGTACATAGTCTCTGTGGATGTCCCTGCCCTGTAGCCACCAGCCCCTTGCTGCTCTCCCTTTAATGCCAAACGGCCCCTGCCTAGGGCACAGGCCCCAATCTGTGTGCTGGGGTCCCCAGCAGCAAACACTGGAAAGTCTTTTTTTTTTCCTTTCTTCTTTCCCACCCCTTAATTTTAACTTTGTGGTAACTGAGTGTCCCTGCGTGCCTGCGTGTGAGTGTGCGGGCGGCAGTGCCGTTCCGGAGGCCTGGTCCATCTGGAGTTTCGAGGGGTGAGGGGACCAGAGCAGCGGGACCAGCGTGGGGGTCGGCTTCTCTTCCCCACCTGGAGCCAGGGGCTGCCCAGGTAACCAGCTGTGGTCCTGCCCACTGCCTCCCTGATCCCTCCCCACTGTCGCCTCTTCTCTATGAACTTCAATTGAAAACCACTTCCCTCCATCTTCTCCCGCTCCTGTGTGGAGGGGGAATGTGTGTTGGCCAGGGCAGAGGACTGAGCACCTGAGCCTGGGGCTGGCTCCCCGGGGTCCCTGACTCAGCTGGTGGCTGTGGAGCTGAGTCCCCTCCCCGTAACCTTTGCGAGGCCAGCACCCATCATCACTACCTGCACCTGCTGTGGTCCCACCCTCTGGAGGCCTGGGAACCTGGCCTCGCGGCCTGGGAAGGCTGGAGAGGCAGATGGTGGCACCCACCAGCTCTCTCCCCATCCGGCCTCTTCCCTGGGGGCCAGGCCCTCCCCGTGTGGTGGTGGGTGGGCTGACTGTCAAGACATGTGTCATGTACATTTGTATCAAAAATAAAGAAGTGACCATGAGCTATTTCTGATGCCTAGAGAATGGGGGCTGGAGGGAGGTGGCAGACATGAAAGGAAGGATGGCTGCAAGTGCCTGGGACTCCCCACCCAAGGTAAGCCCCTGTGCTGGGAACGTCTGTCTAGCGTAAGAGGAGTTTGGGAATAACAAGGTTAACATGTATGATGATAACGAGCCACCCTTCCACGAGCACACTCCTAAAGCCCCGTGTCTAAGGACTGGCTGGCCAGTGGGGGTGGGCTGATGGTACCGTCTGATGGGTAAACCCCTGCCCGAAACACCACCTCCACGGCCTAAGACAAGGGTCTGGGTGGGAGTGTCTCTGTTCGCCAGATGCACGAGCTAAACTCCAGACTCTACTGAAAATAATTTATTTAGAAACGGAGTTTTGGCAAGGGAGGCAGAAGCGGCTCCTTTTCTCTGCCGCCGCTCACTCAGCCACCAACGCCGAGGAACGCGGAGGAGGCAAGCCTCCGCGGTGCTCGGCCGGGGCCGCACCGTCGCCACCAGGGGGCGCCCCGCGCCCGGTCCACGTGGCAGAGGTCGCGGCCTCGCGGCGCGGGGAGGAGCCGCACGCTACAGTGGCAGGACCCAGGCCGTCACTCCGAGCTCTCACCTTCCGGGCCGCTGTCCGGCGTGGGCGGAAGGAGGGGTCTCCGGCGGGAGCGCTTGACCCGTCGCGAGGGCAGCAGCAGCCTCCGCTTCAGCACAGCTGTGGGCCGGGCGCCGAGCAGTCAAGGGCGGGAGGGCAGAGAAGCCATGGGGGGCGACGCGAGATGGGCGGGGACCTCGGGTGGGGAGGGAACTCCTCACCAGCCACTGTGTCCTGGCTGTCCGCTGTGGGCCCCCAGTAGATGCTCTCCCCGCGTCGGAAGTTTCGGTGCAGCCGTGTGCAGAGCGTGGCCAGGGTGAGCAGCACCAGCAGGAAGGTCAGGGCCATGGCGGCCCAGGCGGCCTCTTCCGTGCGTGGGGTGGGGACCCGAGCTGCCTGTGGAGGCGCTGCCGCGCGGGGGGCCGGGGAAGCCTGACTTGAACAGACACAGCCCCCTGGGCTGTCTTGCCCGCTGGGCACATGAACCTCTGTCCTGGAGCTGGCATTGCCTCCAGGTGCCCCGGCCAGCAGGGAGGCAGTGGGTGCAGATGGGGCATTACTCTCCCTACCACGGATTCCCAGCATGGGCTGCTTGGCCTTCAAGCTCCCTGGGGAAGCAGAGGGAAACCTCAGGGCTGAGCGAGTCGGCTGGGGAACAAGGGCAGCCCGCAGCCTCCGCCTCTTGGCACCACTGGGAGAGGGCTGCCTGGGCCCTTGAGATGTCACCTCTGTGCCAGGGGGCCGCCAGCTCCGCAGAGCGAAGGCCAGAGCCAGGGCCTAAGAAGAGGGGAGACAGCAGTCACCCTGCTGCCCTCCTCAGAGAACCTGAGACCAACAAGCCTGCTCCCAGCACCTCTCACCTGCACACACCCTCTCCGGCACAGCCTCCCTCTACCCGGGGTTGGCATACAGGGAGGGGGCCCCAAAAGGCTGTCATGGTAGATCCATGCCGTCTTCTTCCTCTGCTTCCTCCTCCACCTCCTCATCAGCCAGTGGGCAGCCCAGGCTGGCTCTACCCAGGCCATCTCCAGCTCCAGCCCCCACGCAGTCAGCACCAGAGGCTATGAGAGGAGGTAACTGTTAGAGCTATGAGGAAGGTGGGGACAAGCAAGAGGAGCCCCTTGAATTTTCCTTTCCCTGCACATAGGGCCATAGCCTTCTACCAGGGACAGGCAAGCACCTTTCATCAGCTACATACCCGATCCTGCGTGAGGCTGGAGTCAGGGGCGAGGGAGGGGTTAGCCACACAAGCGTAGGCCAGGAGGGCAAGCTGGAGCTTCAGCCAGGGGTGGGCACAGGGGTGGTAGAGGAAGGTGACATCCTCAGCCTGGAGGAAAGGCACAGAGATATCAAAGCAGGCCCAGGGCCCTCCCAGAGAATCTCAAGTTCTCCCATCCAGGGGGACAGTTTAAAGGGACTCCCAGGATGGCCAGATGGCTCAGAAAAGGACAAAAGGCCCAGAAAAAGACAAAGGGCCCTGGGTACTGGCATGTACTCCCTCTTGCCTCTGAGTGTTCCTTTCACCCTTCCTCTCCATCAAGTGCCACCCCTCAAAGCTCACAGCATGCCTGGGTAACCCTGCCAGACTCAGACCATACTAGCCATATTTCTCTGCAGCTGTAAGAATGGCTCTACAGGTCCACAATCCAAGCCATAAGCATCCCCCAAATGAAGAACATTGATCCAATCTATACAGTTAATCTCCCAAAAACATCCAAAGACAGGCAGGCAGGCAGCAGGTGCATAATCTCAGGATGGAAAAACTCCATCAATCATTCATTATTCCTTTTTCTTTTTTTTTTTTTTTGAGATGGAGTCACCAGTTTAGAGTGCAGTGGCACCATCTCGACTAACTGCAACCTCTGAATCCTGGGTTCAAGTGACTCTTCTGCCTCAGCCTTCTAAGTAGCTGGGACTACAGGCATGTGCCACCACACCCAGCTAATTTTTGTATTTTTAGTATAGACGGGGTTTCACCATGTTGGCCAAGATGGTCTCGATCTCTTGATCCACTTGCCTCAGCCTCCCAAAGTGCTGGGATTACAGGCGTGAGCCACCACGCCCGGCCTTATTCTCTGACTGAGTTGACTTGATGCTCAGCGCTGTGCTAGATGCTGTGGGAGATGCCAAAGAACTCGTGGACTCTGCTTGCAGGGAATGTATAAGAAACTCAGGGAAACAACTAATGCAAATGAAAGAGCAAACTAACAAAACTTAGTGATTAGTTGTTAAATTATCATAGATTCAGAGAAGGAGGGGAGGAATAAAGGCTGATGCCATCAGACAAGGTCTTGGGAGGAGCTGAGTCCTGCTGAGGCCTGGAAGACAGCTGGAGGCGGATGGCAGGAGGGGAGGAAGCTGCACACTCTGAGTCAGGATAGCCCGGGTGTGGAGAATAAACAGGAGCAAAGGGACTGCAGCAGGGGTGAGGCTGGCACTCATTTATGTGGCAAGCAGACTGACACAACTGGAGAAGAACCAAGGATTTGGAGAGGTCAGATGAAGCTTACTTAAGTAAGGCCTGAAAAGCCAGGCTGGAGAGTATGGCCACGATAAGGTGGGAAATAAGGAGCCATTGACGGTTTCTAACAGAGGAATGACTTCATGAAAGGGCGGTTTGAGGAAAGGAATTTGGTAGGTGGTGGGAGGCAACATCTCTTGGCCTGGAGCTATTACAGAGAATTTTTTTTTTATTAGGTATTTCAGGCCAGGCATGATGGCTCATGCCTGTAATCCCAGCACTTTGAGAGGCCGAGGTGGGCAGATCACCTGAGGTCAGGAGTTCGAGACTAGCCTGGACAACATGGTGAAACCCCGTCTCTACTAAAAATGCAAATATTTAGCTGGGTGTGGCAGCATGAGCCTGTAATCCCAGCTACTGGGGAGGCTGAGGCAGGAGAATTGCTTGAACCTGGAAGGCAGAGGTTGCAGTGAGGCCCACTGCACTCCAGCCTGGGCGATAGAGCGAGACTCCATCTCAAATAGTACTACTACTACTACTGCTAATAATAATAATAAAAGGTATTTCAAAGGAAAAATCAGAGGTGCTGCGATGAAGATTGAAGCCGCCATGGAAGCTGAGCCCGCAGTGTGGAGCCTGGGAACCAGAGGCACGCTCCTTCCACGATGGCCGTGCTGGCACACATCCATCCTCGCCGCTCACACGCAGGGACAGAATACCCTCTCCTACAGAAAACTGGGGCCCACAAAGGAGACCTCCCGATGTCCCCCCAGGTAGCGGGAGCCTGGGCTTCTTCCAACTACTCTCAGAGCTCCACTCAGAGGCAGCTACCCAACAGCATCCTGACAGGATTGCAGGCCTATGGCTCACGGTCCTTGGCCATCTGTACTGGGGCTGATCTGTCCTGGGCTTGGGGGTGGGGCGGAGAACTAAAGCCCTTGCCTCTGCCTGAGGGCAGTGGTAAGGAATGGTAAGGAATCGGAGGCCTTCTAGGAGCTCGGGTCTCCAGGCGTGGACACGAAAGGTGGGCCCTGCTTGTACTCACCTTCCCTGGGCTCACTCGTGTGGAGGTCACTCTTGGCGACACCTATACATGGGGAAAGAACAGAGCTTAGGGCAGTTGGGGGGACTCTGTGTGTATGTAATGGGGAGGGGACAGCAGGCCCCAAACACCAGGCTGGGATGCAGAGTTGGCGACTGAGGACGGGAGGAACCGGCAGAGGTCCCCAAAGATTGACTGTGGAGGGCGCAGGGAGAACGGAGCGGGACTGGGCTAGCCTTTCACACCCCTCTCTCCCTGGGCCCTCCAGGGCTCCTACCTGCGGGGGAAGAGGCCACAGGCCCTCGGAACAATGCGCTCCCGCCTCCTCCGCCGGTCTAGCCACCACCTGTGGGTCCAAAGCGCAGAGCTGGGGCGCTGGACTCGGCGAGGCCCTGCCCTCTCCTTCCAGGCACAGCCCGCCAGCGGAAGAACTCCGCGTCCCCCTCGGCGCGCCACTCCTTCCAGGACGAACTTTAGGCAAAGCGCTTTGCGCTCCCGGGCCGAGGGCTTCTCAGGAGGAGCTGATCACCTTACCTCGCTGGGACCCAGGAGCCTTGCTAGGGCGGCCAGAAAAAGCAGCTGGGGCGAAGGCGGAGGAGGCGCCATCCCACACCGCCCCGGGCCGGGCCAGCCGCCCAGCCAGCGAGGGAGCGCGCGCGTCCCGCCCCTCCGGCCCCAGCGCCCCCGCGCCGCCCGCGCGCCCGCGCACCCGCGCGCCCGGTGGCCCGGGGCTCGCGCCCGCCTGCCCTAAGCTCGCGCCCGCCCCTCCCAAGACAGCAGGCCCCCGGCCTCGCCCCGCCCCTAGGTCCCCGCCCTGCCCCAATGCCCGCCCACAGCAGCCGAGCGTGCGCGCACGCGTCCTAAACCTGAAGCCGGAAAAGTTGGGTGAGTGAGCTGGGCCAGCGTTCCAGGCGCTGCAGGGCCGCGGGGACCCCGTCGCCTGGCCCGGGGATTCCTACCAGCGCGTCCCTGCAGCCTGCAGAACACATCTGCAGCGCCTGGATGGGATTGGGATCCCTGTGGACCGGGTGGCCCAAGCCGGGGAGACGGGTACGCTCCCCTGGCAAACCTGCTTCAGATTTTGTCTGTGTGACCTGCAGCGAGAAGAGGGGCTGAATTACTAAGTCAGGAGGAGCTGCTGAAGGGAGACGGTCCCACTTCTGAAGCTTTGACGTCGGCCCACCCCACTTTCACCGTCACAAATAGGGACCCCAGAGGAGCCTCGAGGGGTCTTCGCCCCCCAAACTCCTTAGACCCAGAAGCCCCGGGAGGTCGGAGCTGGCCGACGGGCTGCTGTGTTCCCCTCCTCCGCCGTCGCCCAGCGGTGGCCGGCGCGCGTCCAGAAAGAGATTGGTCGCCGCGAGGTGGGGAAGCCACAGGCCTCACCCCCAGGGGGGGCGCTGGCTGGCCCGCCCAGCAGCGGGGCGCTGGTTCTGGTCCCCTCTCCAGGATATGGGGGAAGAACACGGGTAGAGAGCGAGGGTCAAGATGGCCATCCCAAAGCTTGGAAACAGCAAGAACGTGTTATTTCCGTGGTCTCCCATGCACCCCGGCTTACAAGGGGTTCCTTGTAGGTTGGAGGGGCATCCCTGTCTCAGGACGCCTGAGTGTGCTTTTCTCCAACTGACTCTCGGAGGCGTGGGGCTGCTGCTTCTGGGGAACTCCCTCCCGGGCAGCAGGGCTGGGGATTTCCTTCATGGGGAGCCCCGAGCTCGCGGGCACGGGGACAGGGACCAGGATTCCGTGGGACGCGCACTGATGCAGTCAGGGAAGTAGCAGTCTCTCGCCAGCGGCTCGGACGCCGCGCTCGCCCTCACTGGCCCAGCGCCGGACCCTGCCCGGCCTAGTAACTGCGGGGCTGCAGGGTCGGGCGGGGGAGACAAACGCCGAGTGCAGAGCGCGCGGCCGCCGCCCCACGCGGGCCCAGGAGTCGGCGCCCGAAGCTGCGACTTATTCACCTCTCCCTTCTGCTTCTCTTCATCGGTCTCTGAGGGCGGAGCGCCCGGGGTCTGGCTAAAGAGCCTGATGACACCCGGGTCCCCAAGCCTCGGCCTCCAGTCTCCCCACGCCTCTGGTCAGCACCGCTCTCCCCGGCTCGTGCCCTCCCTGCTCCCTTCCGGCTGCTGGCGCGCCCTCCCTCCCTGGTGACCCCGACTCCTCTCACTCTCTGCTCCCGCTTGTTGCAATAGCTGTACAAAGGGCCGAGGGCGGAGGTGGGGGGCGGGCGAGGGGAGTCGGGCCCGAACTGGCTGCCTCTGAGTAGCCGCGGCCAATCTAGAGCGCGCCCGCGCGGGAGGGCTCTGGGTAGCCGCCGCCTGCAGGCGGAGCCGCAGGCAGAGCGCGGAGCTCTCCAAGTAGACGGCCGGACCACCCGCCGCCAGCCACACGCTGCCGGCTGCCCGCCACCCGCCGCCCGCCGGGGCTCTCTGGCCTCGCCATGCCGCCGTGGAGCGCCGCCCTCGCGCTCATCTTGGCGATGCTCGTCCTGCTCTGCCTGCTCCGCCCGCGGCTCCGGAGCCCCTGGGGGCGCACCGTCGGAGAGAAAACCCTGCCGGGGGCCCAAAACCGAGATGACGAGGAGGAGGCAGACGGCGGAGGCCCGGCGGACCAGTTCAGCGACGGGCGCGAGCCACTGCCGGGCGGGTGTAGCCTTGTCTGCAAGCCGTCGGCGCTGGCCCAGTGCCTGCTGCGCGCCCTGCGGCGCTCGGCGGCGCTGGAGCCAGGCCCGCGCTCCTGGCTCTCCGGGCCCCACCTGCAGACCCTCTGCCACTTCGTCCTGCCCGTGGCGCCCGGGCCTGAGCTCGCCCGGGAGTACCTGCAGTTGGCGGACGATGGGCTGGTGGCCCTGGACTGGGTGGTGGGACCTTGTGTTCGGGGCCGCCGGATCACCAGCGCCGGGGGCCTTCCCGCGGTGCTTCTGGTGATCCCCAATGCCTGGGGTCGCCTCACCCGCAACGTGCTTGGCCTCTGCTTGCTCGCCCTTGAGCGCGGCTACTACCCGGTTATCTTCCATCGCCGCGGCCACCACGGCTGCCCGCTGGTCAGCCCCCGGCTGCAGCCCTTCGGGGACCCGTCCGACCTCAAGGAGGCGGTCACTTACATCCGCTTCCGACACCCGGCGGCGCCGCTGTTCTTGGTGAGCGAGGGCTCGGGCTCGGCGTTGCTACTGTCCTACTTGGGCGAGTGCGGCTCCTCTAGCTACGTGACAGGCGCCGCCTGCATCTCTCCCGTGCTGCGCTGCCGCGAGTGGTTCGAGGCCGGCCTTCCCTGGCCCTACGAGCGGGGCTTTCTGCTCCACCAGAAGATCGCCCTCAGCAGGTGGGTAACGGAGGCCGCAGACCGGCATGGTAGGAATAGAGGGCCTGAGCTGGCTGAGAAACAGAAACAGCTCTGCATAGGATTAGAACAAACAGGCGTGGGCCAGTTTGGGCAAAGTTCTCTGAACACATCTTCCAAAGCCGTCCAAACCCTGTAGTCTAGGCAACACAGGGGAAGCAGGTTTAAAGGTCATCGATGGACCTAGCTAGTATCACTGTGCTAGAACGGGGGACTCCTGCCCCGGCCCCTTGTCTCATCTCAGCCTCGGTATCTTAGCAACTTAAGTACCTGGCCCACGACAGCAGAGATACCTGACATTTACCACTTAGCCCGCAGCTTGACAACTCAGCAAACAGCACCCTGGAAGCAATTGCAAACGATTATCTGCCCAGAATGTTTACTCACAGTCTATGAGCCTGGAGGTGGCAGGAATCAGAAAAAATGGTGGCATTTGAGGCCAGGTGCAAGTGCTCCCACCTGTAATCCCAGCACTTTGGGAGGTCAAGGCAGGAGGATCGCTTTAGCCCAAGAGTTTGAGACCAGCTTGGGTAACATAGGGAGACCCGTCTCTACAAAAATTTATGTTTTTAAATAGCTGGGTGTGATGGCATGCACCTCTGGTCCCAGCTACTCAGGAGATTGAAGTGGAAGGATCACCCAACCCCAGAAGTTTGAGGCTGCAGAGAGCCTTGGTCAGGCCACTGTACTCCAGCCTGGGTGACAGAGCAAGACCCTGTCTCAAAATGTGTGTGTGTGTGTGTGTGTGTGTGTGTGTGTGTGTGTGTGCGCGCGCGCGCGCCTGCGCACACGCGCATACTGGCATTTAATTTATTAAATTTTTTTTAAAATTTTTTTTAGTAGAGATGGGGTTTCCCAATGTTGGCCAGGCTGTTCTGGAACGCCTAACCTCAAGTGATCCGCCCACCCAGCTTCCCAAAGTGCTAGGACTATAGGCGTGAGCCACCATGCCCAACTAATTTATTAAAATTGTTTAGACCTGTCAACTGTTTTACACATTTCTACATATGTGCTCAATATTTAATACAAAAATTAATAATATTTAAACAGAATTTTTAAAAAATCTCCAAAAGAAGAACAGTTTACCACCAGGGTGACAGGTGACACTTTTCCACTGAGAAGGCCCATTTGACATTGCCAGCCTATACTCTGGCTTTCTTAGGAGATGGTAGAATGAGGTCGACAACATTATGGCAATAGGGTGGTGTAGCAGAAAGCCCTGGGATATGGAGTCAGATTCACTTAGATTCAAATCCAGAATTTCCAGCAAGTTAGCCAATCCGCTTAGAGCTTCACTTCTCTCTTCAAATACTTTTGTTAATAATAACCATCTCCCAAGATAGTTAGAAAACAAAAAGTAGGTGCCGGGCACGGTGGCTCACACCTGTAATTTCAACACTTTGGGAGGCTGAGGCAGGTGGATCACTTGAGATCAGGAGTTCAAGACCAGCCTGGCCAACATGGTGAAACCCCATCTCTACCTGTAAAAATACAAAAAGATTAGCTGGGCGTGGTGGTGGGCGCCTATAATCCAAGCTACTGGAGAGGCTGAGGCAGAAGAATTGCTTAAACCCAGGAGGCAGAAATTTCAGTGAGCCAAGATCACGCCACTGCACTCCAGCCCGGGCAACAGAGCAAGACTCCGTCTCAAAAAAAGAAGAGAAAACAAAAGTAGGTGCCTGCCACTGAGTAGGTGCTCAGGAAATGGTGGCAATTGTGTTCTCTTTCTTTCCTTGCCTCATTTTGCATCCTATTCTGAGAAGGTCAAACTCTGAGCTCAACAACAGCCTGACGCACTGCCATGGCAACCCAGAGGCGCTGGCGCCTTTCAGGGGCAAGGTGCCCTCATTGGCTTAATTGCCATAGTTTCCGTGCCAGATGATCTCCACCAGCACTAACCTGGGCACTAGCCATGGGCAGAGTGAAGAATTGAAGAGAAATGCTGCATGTTTAGGAGCTGTCCTTCTCATGAAAGTTCAGCTATGAAAACTCAGGGCAAGTGGATTTTTGTTGTTGTGTTTGTTTGTGTGTGTCTGTGTGTTTTTTGTTTTTTCCCCAAGACAGAGTCTTGCTCTGTCACCCAGGTGGATTGCAGTGTCGTGATCTCAGCTCACCGCAACCTTCCCAGATTGAAGCAATTCTCCTGCCTCAACCTCCCGAGTAGCTGGAATTATAGGCACCTACCTCCACGCCTGACTAATTTTTGTATTTTTTAAGTAGAGATGGGGTTTCACCATGTTGCCAGGCTGGTCTTGAACTCCTGACCTCATGATCCTCCTGCCTTGTCCTCCCAAAGTGCTGGGGTTACCTGCATAAGCCACCATGCCTGTTTGTGTGTTTTTTGAGAGGGAGCCTTGCTGTCACCCAGGCTGGATTGCAGTGGCACGATCTCAGCTCACCACAACCTCCGCCTTCCAGGTTCCAGTGATTCTCCTGCCTCAGTCTCCCAAGTAGCTGGGACAACAGACATGCACCACCATTCCCAACTAATTTTTGTGTTTTTAGTAGAAACGGGATTTCACCATGTTGGCCAGGCTGGTCTTGAACTCCTGACTTCAAGTGATTGGCCTGCCTCTGACTCCCAAAGTGCTAGGATTACAGGTGCGAGCAATCATGCCCAGCCGCTTGTTTGTTTGAGGCAGGATCTGACTCTGTCGTCCAGGCTGCAGTGCAGTGGGATCACCACTCATTACAGCCTAGAGTTTCCGGGCTCAGGTGATATTCCCCAGCCTGCCTCTGGCTTTCTTAGGAGATGGCAGAATGAGGTCAAAAACGTATGGCAACAGTGTGGTGTAGCAGATAGACCTGGGATGTGGGGGTCAGACCCCCACCTCAGCCTCCCAAGTAGCTGAGATTATAAGCACATGCCACCATGCCTGGCTAACTCTTGTATTTTTTGTAAAGATGGAATTGTGCCATGTTGTCTAGGCTCATCTTGAACTCCTGAAATCAAGGGATCCACCCGCCTTGGCCTCCCAAAGTGCTAGGTTTATGGATGTGAGCCACTGTCCTTGGTCAGAGATGAACATCTAATTTCAACTCTCTGAGGCTGGATTGAGCTACTCAAAAGATGGAGCTGCCCAACCAGGCGTCCTTGTCGGGATGCCAAGCCCTCTCCAGGGGGCTGGAAACAGCAAAGATGTTCCCTGTTAACCCAAAGCAGTTGCTCTCAGGCCCCTATTTGGGAACCCAGTAAATTAATTACGGCCCCAGTTGCTTCCTCTGCCAGGCAGCACACTCTCTAGGAATATCTGCCCCAGGTATACCTGATTAACAGCACACTCGTGTGATTACCAGGACAGGATGTTAGTTTAAAAAACAAAAATAAGGGCTGAGCCCAGTGGCTCACACCTATAATCTCAGCACTTTGGGAGGCCAAGGCAGGCGAATCACCTGAGGTCAGGAGTTTGAGACCAGCCTGGCCAACATGGTGAAACCCCGTCTCTACTAAAAACACAAAAATCAGCCGGGCATGGCAGTGTATGCCTGTAATTCCAGCTACTTGGGAGGCTGAGGCAGGAGAATCACTTGAACCCAGGAGGCGGAGGTTGCAGTGAGCTGAGATCACGCCACTGCACTCTAGCCTGGCAACAGAGCAAAGCTCCATCTCAAAAAAATAAGCAAAAATAAAAACAATGAATGCAATCTAAAGTAAAACGTGAATGATTAGCAGAGGTGTCACCTGCTGCTTTGGATAGTCTAAGCCAGTAAGTTCTTCTAGGAGCAGTTCAGGAGGTTACAGTTCATAGCAAGTTCTCCACAGAGGGCCAGAAGTTGAGGTTAGGAGATCTGTCAGCAGCTGTGAAATCAAATGCTGCCCCTAGGGCACGTAGGCAGGTGCAGTGATGCTATGAATGACAGGCCTGCTGGGCACTCTCACGAGGGAGGAGCCCATTGTTGTGCTGAGAAATGCCCGCCCATGTGGCCACATCTTCCCACTTCCCTAGAGAAGCCAGACACCTGCATTTCATCTGAAATCCTCTAATTTTATTATTTTATATTATTTTATTTTTTGAAACAGGGTCTCTGTCACCCAGGCTGGAGTGCAATGGTGCAATCCCAGACTCAAGCAATCGTCCCACCTCAGCCTCCTGAGTAGCTAGGGTCACAGGCTTGAGCCACCATGCCAGGCTAATTTTTATTTTTTATTTTAAGAAATGGGGTTTCACCATGTTGCCCAGGCTGGTCTCGAACTCCTGGGCTCAAGCGATCCTCCCACTTTGGCCTTCCAAAGTGTTGGGATTACAAGTGAGAGCCACCGCACCCAGCCTTATCTCCTGGTTTTAAATGACGGCCATGAAATGAAATTTTTTCAAAGCCCTAAATGGCCAAAGAAAACCTCTGCGGTTAGGATCTGGCCTGCCGGCTGTCTCTGTCTCATCTGCTGTCACCTGATGTTCTCATTCTTCCCTCTCTTTCCCACCTTCCCCACTCAACGTCTCGATGTCAGGTATGCCACAGCCCTGGAGGACACCGTGGACACTAGCAGACTGTTCAGGAGCCGTTCCCTTCGAGAGTTTGAGGAGGCTCTCTTCTGCCACACCAAAAGCTTCCCCATCAGCTGGGATACCTACTGGGACCGCAACGACCCACTCCGGGATGTGGATGAGGCGGCCGTGCCTGTGCTGTGTATCTGCAGTGCTGACGACCCCGTATGTGGACCTCCAGACCACACTCTGACAACTGAACTCTTTCACAGCAACCCCTACTTCTTCCTCCTGCTCAGTCACCACGGAGGCCACTGTGGCTTCCTGCGTCAGGAGCCCTTGCCAGCCTGGAGCCATGAGGTCATCTTGGAGTCCTTTCGGGCCTTGACTGAGTTCTTCCGAACAGAGGAGAGGATGAAAGGGCTGAGTAGGCGCAGAGCTTCCTTTCTTGGGGGCCGCCGTCGCGGGGGAGCCTTGCAGAGGCGGGAAGCCTCTTCCTCCTCCAACCTGGAGGAGATCTTTAGCTGGAAGCGATCATACACAAGGTGAGAGACCTGGCCGGAGAACCCATAAGTCCTGCAAAGAAAAACAGCTGGGCAAGCGGGGAGTCCTGGAAAGATGAGGCAGACTGAATGGAGGGAGCGCCAGCTCTTTTCTCCTCATTCAGTCCTTCTCTCCTAAACCGGTGCCTGGAAAGAGATGGGACATCCAGCGAACCTGCGCTCACTTCACCCTCAGTAGAACTCCCGTCTGGGCTTGCTCAACACATCCCTACTCATCTGGTCATCAGTGGGGTGTTCCCGTACTGTCTCCTGTCACTGACATCACAAGCCAAAGGACAGCACTGTTTCAGGCCATGGACTCAGGAGAAAATGTCCTCTTACCGGCAGTGGCTAGAGGGATGAAGCATTTATGTTGTCATAAGGCAGTGACCCCGATTCTCAAGCTGGAGCCACTCGATGTCATTAGGACAGGATGTTTGTGTCTCAGCCCCACTTCCCTCATTTGCTGTGTGGTTGTGGCACTCTGCTCTGACTGAATGTTCAGCAATTGCAGAAGCAGGCTCGCGTGTGTGAGAAGGGCGGCAGAGGCAGTGGGGCTTGCTCGGTGAGGGCTGAGCAGGTAGAGAATGTGAATGCCCATCTCAAGGAATGCGAAGGTCCAATCTCTCAGAGGAGTTCTGCAAGTCTCAGCTGAGAATGGGGCTCCATTCTACAAGTCTCAGCTGGGAATGGGGCTCCATTCTGCAAGTCTCAGCTGGGAATGGGGCTCCATTCTGCAAGTCTCAGCTGGGAATGGGGCTCCATTCTATAAGTCTCAGCTGATTTGGGCCCTCTAGCCTCCCCGGAGAGGTCCCAAGGGTATTTTAGAACGAGGAAGTGCTCCCATGCAGGGTTGGAGAGCTTTACTAGACCGTGGTTCAAGGAGTCGGAATCTTGGCCACCCTACATGCTCCCTCTGGCACCATTTCAGGGCGTGACTCCAGAGAGCTGCAGCCAGAGCTGTTCATCTCCTGAGATGTGGACTTTCTCCAAGTAAGTGAAAAGTACAAACTCGTAACTTCAGTGTTTTCTGCTTAGTTGCTCCGTTTTCTGAAGCTGCTACTGGCCTCTCCCCTTTCCAGAGCCAGGAGACACATGTGGGACCAGAGGAAACAACACCAAGAGGTTGACTAGAGCTGACCAGTGATTTATGAGTATTTCATATTACCATGCCTGGTCTGTTCAATTATTCATAAAGCCATCTCTGTAAAGGCAGAAAAGCTTCCTCTTAGATCTGGCCACTCAGCAGCTAAGTGGGTATTTGGTTTTATGAGGAATAATGCCGAAAACTAGAGATACAGTATATCAGAGATAAGACATACAGGTTGATCTAAATATTCCTGGTTTGGATTAGGCCATTAAAATTTTTTGGCAATAGGACATGTTTCCATGTGTTACTAAGGTTCAAAACCCTTGCCCAAAGTTTTATTTTAATTGTCATTGAGAAAGAGGGCTCCTGTTCTGACCTCACAACAGCAAAGCAGTTGTAAAGAAGAGAGCTGTTTATACCAAAGACTTTCACATCCCAAGACTTGGTATAAGGTATTCCTGAGGCCATGATTTCAGGTTTGGATAATCTTGCCCCAGCCTTGTTCTTCTAGATAAAATCAGAAGAAACTCTGAAATAACTCCAAGAATCTGTACTGAAATGTAGACGGCACTTGATTGTCTAAGACACATTATCCTGTTGTGAAAAATTCTCTCTCTCCTCCCCACTTCTTGTTTATCTTCCTCCACATTCCTCGTCTGGCGTTCTTTTGCCATTTCTAAGCAAGAGAAATAAAAAGGAACTGAAATTAAAGAAGCTATTCTATTGCCGGTGAACAACAGCCTTGGTGAAAGGCTTGGGAAGGGAGAATTACTGCCATCTGGCCATCCCCTGGCACCGGCTGCCTCCCGCATCTGGTACAGGGGGAATTTCAGTTAATTAGGGTCCTGCAGTCCAGTTGCCCTGCAAAGTGGGAAGCAGCCTAGTGGTTTTTAAACTCTAAGGCTTAAAGCATCCCTAAGGGTGAAAATCTATAGTTTCTCTAGAAACTATCCAGTTACCACAGGACTCTGATTCTTCGAGAGAATAGCTTTTGGAGAAATAGTGGTTGGTTTTCCTTTCCCTTTTGATAGGAAAGGAAGTTTTCCAGGGAGGGAAATGTATAAACTTTGTTACAGTCAGAAGAATGGTAGAACAGCCCTGGTTCAGATTCCATTAATTCCTTTGAACCCTGAACTGCAATGACCTGAACCTTAAAGTATTTTTCTTCCATGGTCCTTGTGCCAGATGCACCCACTGCATATCCCAAAAACCTCTTATCTTCCCATTACTACTTGAATACTAGGGCCAAAATGCCCATTTTTTGCTGAGAAAGTGTAGTTTCTGTTCAAGCAGGAAAGGTTTGGTTAACCCTGCCCTTTAGCCTAATGATTCAAGAATCACACAGATGAATTCCTGCTTTGGTAAATAGCTAACTGTGTGAAGCCAGCTAGAGGAGCCCCAGGCACACTGTTCTGAGAGGGTGTCTACTGATTACCAGCTTGGCCACAGACACCCCTACCCAGGCAGCGCGGAAGGCATTAAGAAGCAGATGGCCAGATAGAACAGCAAAGTGGGACTATCTGGGGCCAAAAGCCTTCCAAGCTGAGAGCCTCGGGCTGACAGCAGCCTGGGCTGAGGGCCTCGAGCAGATTCTGACCCATGTAGTTATTCTCGCTGGACAGGTGATTCTTATTAACAAACAGGTGTTCTGTGTTTTCTCATAGAACCAAGATAAACTAGGTAGGCTGCTGGTGCCTGCTTACCACTAATCAAGGACAAACTAGAAAGTATTCTCCACGAGGGAGCCACAGGGGCAGGTTCGCATATCCTGGGCTTAAAGAATTGTTTTAACCGGTGTATGGTATACATATACTGTCTTGTACATGCGTATGGTATACATATACTGTCTTGTACATGCGTATGGTATACATATACTGTCTTGTACATGTGTATGGTATACATATACTGTCTTGTACATGTGTATGGTATACATATACTGTCTTGTACGTGTGTATGGTATACATATGCTGTCTTGTACGTGTGTATGGTACACATATACTGTCTTGCTACTTCAGAATGCCTCAAGTAGTTTTCCACTGGGGTAGGGGGAGGGCTAGGTTTTCCTTGCCATCGTTCTGCTTAGCAAACAATATATTCTATCATATACTCAGCATTTCTCAGCAATCATACACTCAGCATTTCTCAATAGGTGTCCCTTGAACAAAATGGCAAGTTATGAGCTTGAGGAAGCAAGAAACAACAAAACCAACAAATGGGCCGGGCACGGTGGCTCACGCCTGCAATCCCAGCCCTTTGAGAGACTGAGTGGGAGGGTCAGTTGAAGCTGGGAGATCGAGACAAGTCTGGCCAACAAAGCAAGACCCCATCTCTAGAAAAAATTAAATTCTCTAGGCATGGTGGTACACCCTGTAGTCCCAGCCACTTGGGAGACTGAGGCAGTAGCATCACTTTAGCCCTAGAGGTCAAGACTTCAGTGAGCCCCTCCCAAACACCTAAGAAGTACCACTGCGTTGGAGTGTCCAGGTGGTGGGTCTTCACCGATCAGGCCTCATTACTTGTTTGCCTCCTTTTTGGTGTCCATTATTTACCAACACCTTCAAATGGTAAGACAAAAAAATAAATACAAATAAGAAGTAATCCCAGCACTTTGGGAGGCCAAGGCAGGCAGGTCACTTGTGTCCAGTTCAGGACCAGCCCAGGCAACATGGTGAAACCCTATCTCTACAAACAATACAAAGATTAGCTGGGTGTGGTGGCACATGCTTATAGTCCGAGCTACTTGGGAGGCTGTGAGAGAATTGCTTGAGCCCGGGAGATAGAAGCTGCAGTGAACCAAGACTGCACGACTGCACTCCATCCTAGGCAACAGAGCGAGACCGTGTCTCAAAATAATAATGGTAATAATAAAACAAAAACAAAAAGCCAATGACTTAAGGGAGGCGTTAATTCAGAAGTGACAACTGAGTCCTCTGTCTCTAGCCACAGATCAGAATGCAGGAAGCAGACAACTGCCTCTAAAAGTATCTTTGAGTTCTAAGTTCTGATCTCTGATATCAAGATTGTGCTGAGCAATAACTTAATTCTCATAATTTAGTATTTTACATATGTATACATAGATCTCCAGGGTGGCTTGGCTGAAGATGACGGTATGAAAAACACAGCATTCCAAAAAAAAAAAAAAAAAAACCACAGCATCAAATTCTCTGAGAAGACACCATCTCTGGAGTGGCGCTAGCCTAAGACTTGGATACTGTTAGAAGAGAGGTCTTGGCCAGGTGTGGTGGCTCACACCTGTAATCCAAGCACTTTGGAGGCCAAGGCAGGTGGATCACCTGAGGTCGGGAGTTCAAGACCAGCCTGACCAACATGGTGAAACCCCGTCTTTTAAAAAAAAAAAAAAAAAAAAAAAAAAAAAGAGAGAGGTCTTGGCGTGGTGGCCCACGCCTGTAATCCTAGCACTTTGGAGACTGAGGAGAGTGGATTGCTTGAGTTCAGGAGTTTGAGACCAGCCTGGGCAACGCAGTGAAAACCTGTTTCTACAAAAAATATAAAAATTAGCCAGGTATGGTGGCACATGCCTGTAGGTCCAGCTACTAGAGAGGCTGAAGTGGGAGAATCACTTGAGCTCAGGAAGTCAAGGCTGCAGGGAGCTGTAATCACGCCACTGCACTTCAGCCTGGGTGACAGAGCAAGACCCTGTCTCAAAAAAAGAAAAGAGAAAAGGTCTTAAAACAAGGAAGAGTCATCTTGGCTTTATACATAACCTCAGAAACTTCCTCTGTACTCATCTTCCACCCAAACCTCAAGGTCTTTTCTCAGTCAGTCACCCTTAGTAATGAATGCCAAGGTATCTTCCTTTTTAAATTTATTTTGAGATGGAGTCACTCTGTTACCAGGTTGGAGTGCAATGGTGTGATATTGGCTCACTGCAACCTCTGCCTCCCAGGCTCAAGCTATTCTCCTGCCTCAGCCTCTATAGGCATGCTGGGACTATAGGCATGCACGGCACCATGCCCAGATAATTTTTTTTTTAAGACGCGGTTTCACCATGTTGGTCAGGCTGGTCTTGAACTCCCGACCTCAGGTGATCCACTCCCCGCCTTGGCCTCCAAAGTGCTTGGATTACAGGTGTGAGCCACCACACCCAGCCGCCCAGCTAACTTTTGTATTTTTAGTAGAGGTGGGATTTCACCATGTTAGCCAGCTGGTCTTGATCACCTTGACCTTGTGATCTGCCCGCCTCATCCTCCCAAAGTGCTGGGATTATAGGCGTGAGCCACAGCACCTGGCCGGTATCTTCCTTTAGAGATTAACTTTAGCATGAATTCCTCTCCCTGCTTAAACAAGCAGATATACTTGGCCACTCTAGAAGAATTTGATAACAATGCCAATAAAAGGAGTATTTGAGATTCTTCAGTCAGGCCACAAAGGATGCCACCAGAAATTGCTTTGGGTGGTGATCACAATTTGCAGAGATAAGATTGCATTCAGGAAGGCTTGGGAAGTTATACATAGGGAGTGTCTAAATACCCAGAGATGAAATGAGCATCTCCAGAAGCAGTAAGTCCCACATCATCAGTGGGATATTCAAGCTAGACTGCCCCTTGGCACATATCATGGAGAGAACTGCCAAGAAATGAGGATGAACTAGATCAGATACCCAATTTCTTCTCATCTAAGGTCTGTGAATTAAATAATGCTAAGGATCTTAGTGTTTATAACAACTTATGGTGGGTTTCTGGGCTCAAGGATCAGAAAACCACAGACCTGACCAGGATCCAGGGAGTTGAGAGATAACATAAATTTTAATGAAAATAACCCTGGCAAAGTGACCAGAGTGAGTGTGTGTGTGTGTCTATGGTTTTTGTTTGTTTGTTTGAGATAAGGTCTTGCTCTGTCACCTTGGCTAGAGTGCAGTGGTGCAGTCTTGGCTCACTGCATCCTCAACCTCCTGAGTTCAAGCGATCCTACCGCCTCAGCCTCATAAAGTGCTGGTACTATAGGCATAAGCCACCATTCCCGGCCCAGAGTGTTTTCTTTAGAGAAAGGGTCTTGCTTTGTCACCCAGGCTGGAATGCAGTGGTGTGATCATGGCTCACTGCAGCCTCAACCTCCTGAGCTCACGTGATCTCCTAAGTAGCTGGGACTACAGGTGCGCACCACCATGCCTGGCTAATTTTTGTATTTTTTGTAGAGATTGGGTTTGTTACTATGTTACTCAGGCTGATCTTGAACTCCTGGTTTCAAGGAATCTGCTCACTTCGGCCTCCCCAAAGCCTGGGATTATAGGTGTGAGTATACACCTGACCTCAGAGTATATTTTTACACTCTAATAATTATGCTTTAGTCGCATTTGCCCAGAAGAGCTAACATTTTGAAGGTAAAGTGATATTTTGTTGAAACAATAAGACATGCATCAAAAGTAAGTCTCTACTCCCTCTATCCTTTCCTGTAATAATGCAATACCTTGCCTTAGTATTCAGCATTGTTGAACAAAAAATCTCTCTATTTGCCTCTGAATAGTAAACAAATCAGTCTCCTGGTAACACTGGAATGTTATTTTTAAAAAAACAAATATGTGCTGTTTGTCTTAAGTCCTGTGTACTAAGCCATGCCTGCCTGCTGTGGTGTTTAGCAGAGCCTCCCTGCACGTTCTGTCCACGGGCTGTTGCTTCACCTTTGTAGATCTAGCCTCCTGTGGCCCTGCACTAACCAGTGGCAGCTCTGTTTAATCAACAACGAGGCCTCCTGTTCTGGGCTAATAATTTCCCAGCAGGCTCACAATTCCCTGATCATTGATGGTACCTACAACAGAGATATTATTCAGTGGGCAATTAGTGTCTGTGTATTGATAGGATACTGAAGTAATAGTTTGGAGATGTGGGTTCCACTTCTATTTCATCTATGACTTAAATTATTTTATGAGTTCCATATAAAGACTGGGAATGCGTATAGGCCTTAATTTTTAAGGTCTGTTAGGATATAATAAGATAGTTAACAGCATACAGATCCCATCCTCCAAGACTCTATTTTTCAACCAGAGCTCAAAGACCTCCATGATGAAGTGGTATCTGGTTTCAGATCACAATCTTTACTCTCTAATCAGTATCTTGTAAGGCCAAGATGTGTTCCAGGTATTAATTGCACTGCAAAGTTGGGAAGGGCCTGGGAGAGCAGCACCTTTGAGCCTCACAGGTTGGGTTTGGGTTGCCCAATTGAGGGCAAACTCTCCCCATCCCCACCCCCATATATGTACACACACACTGATACCATGTCATAGCTAATCGGCTTGACATCAGTTTTGGTTAAAAACCATCATCAGCATTTCTACTTCTTGTAGATGAAGGTCAGAGAGGATGTGACTTTTAAGATCTCAGTTAGTGACGGGGCTAAGACCAGACCCAAATTAGTGCTTTTTATGCCATATATTATTTTCCTTTTCCTTTTGTTTTTTTTAAATGGGATCCAGGGTAAATTATTTGCCTTTTCCTACCTAATCACTGTCTGAGATGATACTAAATAATGTCCATTTTGGACTCCAAAATGTAAAGGATTTTAACAAAAGGGTGGGGGGAAGGGTGCAGGGAATCTTTTTGAGGTGCTGGGGTACGCAACTGCCTGTGGGGAGCCATGCACATTATCTATAAATGGCAACCTCTCAAGTTCACTGAACAGCCTGCATAAAGCTAACACCCTCAGCAGCCTTCTCTCCCTGTATCTGTTAAGAACAGAGATCTGAAAATAGGGTAGCAAAAGGTAAAGTTGTTAGCTGCCCAGGACACATACAGGAAGACCCTGATTCTGCAGCTGGTGTCGTGTGATGTAGGTGATAGCATAGGGGCTATGAAGCTAGCTGAACATCATAATTTTTTTTTTTTTTTTGAAAGAGACAACAAAGGAATCTCCGTTGCTGAGACTGGAGTGGAGTGGCATGGTCTCAGCTCACTGCAACCTCTGCCTCCCGGGTTCAGTGACTTTCCTGCCTCAGCTCCTAAAGTAGCTGCTATACTATAGGCACGCACCACCACACCCAGCTAATTTGTGTATTTTTGTAGAGACAGGGAGACAGGGTTTCCTTTTTTTTCTTTTGAGACCGAGTCTTGCTTTGTCACCCAGGCTGGAGTGCAGTGGCACGATCTCGGCTCACTGTAACCTCTGCCTCCCAGGTTCAAGTGCCTCTCCTGCCTCAGCCTCCGGAGTAGCTGGGATTACAGGCACCCACCGCCACACCCGGCTAATTTCTGTATTTTTAGGAGAGATGGGGTTTCACCATGTTGGCCAGGCTTGAACTCCTGACCTCAAGCGATTCACCCACCTCAGCCTCCCAAAGTTCTGGGATTACAGGTGGGAGCCATCTCACCCCTTGAAATCTTGTCTTTTAATCCCATTGAGTTACTCCAAGTTCAGGTGGGTATATTGAAAATACTGGAGATGAGGCCTGGTATCTAATCCTGCCTCTCTAAGGCAAAGTCTAGCTCTGTCACCCAGGCTGGAATGTAGTGGCATGATCACAGCTTACTGCAGCCTCTATCTTCCAGGGTCAAGCGATGTGCCCACCTCAGCCTCCCAAGTAGCTAGGAATACAGGGATGTGCCACCATGCTCAGCTAACGTTTTTATTATTTTTTGTAGACTATGTTCCCTAGGCTGGTCTTGAACTCCTGGTCTCAAGCAATCCTTCCATCTCAGCCTCTCAAAGTGGTAGGAAGGCAGGCATGAGCCACTGCACCTCGCTGCCACACAGCTATTTGAGGCAAGCAAATCAAACACTATGTAAATGCTAATTTCAAGATAGTTCAATATCAACACTCTAAGAGTGAAAAAACTGCAACTTAGTTCTAAGTCTTCAATATGGTAGATAATCTAAACTATACTTTTAAAAATGGCACTTCAAAGAATACAAAAAAAAGAGAAAAAAATGGCACTTCAAAGAATACAAAAAAGAGAAAAAAATGGCACTTCAAAGAATACAAAAAAAAAAAAAGGCACTTCAAAAATTTAAAAAAAAAAAAAAATGGCACTTAAAACTATTTTCTTGGCTGGGTGTGGTGGCTCACGCCTGTAATCATAGCACTTTGGGAGGCCGAAGCAGGTGGATTATCTGAGGTCAGGAGTTCAAGACCAGCCTGGCCAAGATGGAGAAACCCACATCTCTACTGAAAATACAAAAATTAGGCTGGGTGCAGTGGCGTACGCCTGTAATCCCAGCACTTTAGGAGGCCACGGCAGGTAGATCACGAGGTCAGGAGTTTGAGACCAGCCTGGCCAACATGGTGAAACCCCACCTCTACTAAAAATATCAAAAAAATTAGCGAGGCGCAATGGCACACACCTGTAGTCCCAGCTACTTAGGAGGCTGAGGCAGAATAGCTTGAACCCAGGAGGCAGAGGATGGAATGAGCCAAGATCATGTCATGGCACTCCAGCCTGGGTAACAGAACAAGACTCCATCTCAAAAATAAATAAATAAAATTAAATTATATATTATATAAATTAGCTGGGTGTGGTGGCACACACCTGTAATCCCAGCTACTTCGGAGGCTGAGGCACAAGAATTGCCTGAACCTGGGAGGTGGAGGTTATAAGCCAAGATCACGCCACTGTACTCCAGCAGCCTGGGTGACAGAGACTGTCTCAAAAATACATATTATTTATTTTTTTGAGATGAAGTCTTGCTCTGTCACCCAGGCTATAGTGGCCCAACCTTGGATCACTGCAACTTCTGCCTCCCAGGTTCAAGTGATTCTCCTGCCTCTGCCTCCCAAGTAGCTGGGATTACAGGCAACCACCACCACGCCTGGCTAATTTTTGTATTTTTAATAGAGATGGGGTTTCACCATGTTGGTCTGGCTGATCTCAAACTCCTGACCTTAGGTGATCTGCCTGCCTGAGCCTCCCAAAGCATTGGGATTACAGGCATGAGCCACCACACCCAGCCCTATTTTGTTTTTGAATTAAAAAACATAAATCCCAGCCCCTGAACGTTTCCCCCTCTGAATTAGCTTCTGACCAAAAAAAAATACCACAGTGTTTTAAACAACAGGACTTGATTAGATGGTTTACTGCCCCCTTATAGGGCTAAAATGTGATGATTTTCAAATCTAGGAAGATAAGCCCAAATAAGACTACCTTTTAAAGCTTTGTGTAAGACTTAAGAGAACTGCTTACATTTATGACTCCATGTATTGAAGTTGTAGTTATGCAGACCACAAGGTAGAAATAAAACTTAAGAACTTGCATCAAGCAGTCAGAATTTAAACTAGAATAATCTCACACCCAGAACACAATAGGCTACTTCACTCTGGGCAGACAGAAGGTGAGGCAATTATTAGACCAGAGGGTTTATGTCTTTTTTTTTTTTTTTTTGTTTTTGAGAAAGTCTTGCTCTGTTGCCCAGACTGGAGTGCAATGGCATGATCTTGGCTCACTGAAACCTCTGTTCATGCAACCTCCACCTCCTGGGTTCAAGCGATTCTCCTGCCTCAGCCTTGCAAGTAGCTGGGATTACAGGTGCCTGCCACCACACCCGGCTGATTTTTTGTTTTAATAGAGACAGGGTTTTGCCATGGTGGCCAGGCTGGTCTTGAACTCCTGACCTCAGGTGATCCACCCACCTCAGCCTCCCAAAGTGCTGGGATTAACTGCGCCCAGACGAGGGTTTATGTCTTTATTAGATGGTACACTCTTACCATCTGAGTGGTAATCCCATTTTTGGAACACCAACATCCAGCACACTGCCTGAGGTTCAGTAATTATCCAATAGTCACTCAATAGAAATATACCTTATCTTCATGGGAATATAACTGCCTTAAAAAACTGGACGGACACCGTGTACTAAAATTACTTTATTACAGTTGATTTTTTTAAACATTTCCTTTGCTATGATACAAAGGATACTTACAAACAAAATATTACATATGACCTTGTTTTCGCTCTTATGTTCTGACAACTTGGTAACAGCTTTAAATGCACAATCTATACAATTAATACAGGTTATATATGAACTATAAGGTATGCTGAACCAGAAGAATACTGACAATATACTGTACAATAAGCCTTACCAGTTAGTGCTGTGGACCATTTATACCAAAAGGAAAATGCACATCTGTACAGTCACCTTTACCAGCTGGTGCTGACAGAGAGGGAGAGGCTTCTTCCCCAATGCAACCCTTGATAAGCCTCCACTGTGAGCGTCTGTTTGGTCCAAAAATCGAGAGGACAGTGTATATTTAAAATTAGTTATTGGTAAAGTGGTAGAACATCACACTTTCAACATGATAATCTCTCAAAAAATATCAGTCCCAGTTTTAAAAGACCACAAGTTTTTTGTCCACTATGAAAACCCTATAGGCTCAAGGGCTTTGGGAGATGAGAAGATGAAGGCTGCCAAAAAAGGAGGCAAGAAACCAAGCCAAAATCTAGGTCTTGCAAAATCATCATTTTTCCCTTCACCAAAGGGAACTAGAAATGTACAAATTCATTGATGAACCTCAATGATAGCATATCAGTTAGCTGATAACCCTCATTTTATCTGGACCCCTGACTTGTGGGAATAACTGAAAAAGATTGTGGATAATAGATACCACTTTTAGAAAAGAACCTCTTGCTTAGTTAACATATTCCCCTTAGCCACCAGAGCTGGTCCTGGGCTATTACAGGTGTGCATTCATCTCTCAATGGTCAACTCAGAAATGATAAGGTTACAGCTTTTTTTTTTTTTTTTTTTTTTTTTTTTTTTTTAAATAAAAAAGCAATTGACTGAAGCATTTTCTTTTTTTTAGGTAAATAGCAAAAATAAAAATAAAAACCAACCCTGGCATTTGCACAAATAATGCAAATGGAGTGATATGGCCTTTAAGGAAGGGGTTAGTAGAAAGGAAGAGGGAAGTGAAGAAAATCCAGATAAAATGATGTACTAATTTCTTTCTTTTAAAAAATTTCTACATGTGCAAAAAAAATCATGCTGTTTGAGGAAAACAAAGGGAAATGAGTACATAAAACTAAAAACATAAATATGTTTGGGTGACTGGTAAAAGTAGAAACCAACCTGGGTTAGAAAAAGGATTATACATTCAAGATGCTCTTAAACCCAGTGGGATAACTTACGTTAAAACTGTGTTAATAGTTACGTTAAAAATCTCAAGTTTGTTTTTAAATCTTCACGATACAAGCAAAGCTGTTTTAAAATATACACTATACATATTCTCATAGTCTCTTCGACCTCATTAATGCGCATTAGGCTTTTTCGTATACTAAAACAAAGGGGTTCTGAAAGCTAAATTGCTCATAGTAACCCATCCATTATTTAAATGGTTGTCTTAAGTTTTAAGTGGGTTAAAAAACTTTAGCAGACTTACATAAATAGGATTTAGCAACACAAGTGTTAATTTAAAAAACTCTAAAGCATTTACAAATTATCAGATTGGAACAGTCTGGGAAAGTTATGTGCACTATACTTTAAAATGTTATTTACATCAGACCATTGCTTTTGTAAAAGTTTCCCTAAAAAAAAAAAAAAAAAAATTAGAGAATTAACCTGTTCTAGCAGAGAAGGATCATAAAAGGAAAGGCAAAATAAAAACAAAATTATCTTCTAATAGAAACCCCACACATCCTTCTCTTTTCTTGGATTTTACCCTATGAAGCCACCTGCAACTCCTAATAGGCTCATATATAAGGTGTCAAGATGTGATAAAATTCCTTTTCAGATAAATTACTGGCCTTAAAAGGACTTTTTTTTTTTTTTTGAAATGTTTTCCCACCTTGTGTCTCTGGCTTGGATTATTCTTGGACACATGTAATTAATTAGAGGAGCACTCCTAAGTAGGCACAATTCCCATTTAATGTGGAATAAAAGGCATAAAATGCTGTTAGGAAGGGTGGTGGTTTCTTTGATATTATGAAACGCAAAGAAGGACAGTAGCACATTTGGAATGGGAACCAAAAGAGAGCTGTGTGGCAATACAGCAGGACAGCCAACAAACATCTCGATAAATTATAAATATACTTGTCTATGACAAAGGAAAGGGGTTAGGAGGGTTCCAATAGCCCCTGGGTTTTCGGATACGTGCCAAATGGTCACACAGACCACCCAGAATCTGCAAATGTTGGGCAGTTACATCCTTTAAAGTCATATAATTCACTCCATGACCATGTGCAATTTATGGTAACAATGTTCATGCCCAGGCAATGTATTTGGGGCTCAGAAAAAGCAAAATGTGCCACTGAAACCTGTTCTCTATATATAACTGGTCTTCATGCTTTCAAGTGGCCCTAATATACCCTGGATATTAAGCCAAGCCATGCAAAAGCAAAGAGTACACACTTGTCATTAACACTGGTATCTCATTTCTAAACCACTGACCTCAGAGTTGCCATAGAAACATATTAACGCGAGTACTGAAAGCATACAATCGAAGGCTCATGGATTTCTAAGAAATGCATTTCCCTCGTCTATGTTCACCAGCCTTTAATACTTTGGCTACAAGGCATATCAGAGAAAAGGAGGTTAAGTTGGGTAATGACAAAAGAACATATGTAACTCTGGAAATAGGAAAAATGTTCCAGAAATGGGATCAATGTGCCAGCAATAAGCATAGTTCATTTCATTTGCAAATTCAGTTAAAGAGCCCAATAAACAGTTCCAAACCATAATGTTATCACCTGCATAATTTACATAAACATTAAAACACTTGCACTTTATAGACAAAACACACTTTTGTAAACATGGCCACTGGGGGAGAGAGGCTCCCTACCTCATTCATGATTGAGGACATGTGATCATTTATATTAAATAAAGTTATTTCACTGCAAAAGATTCCAAACCTGACCAATGATTAAGCTTCATTTCCCCCTGTTTAACAACATTTAAATATTAATTCTAAAAATGTCACCTAGGATGGTTTCAGGGTTAGATGCTAGGACCACAACTGGTAATGACAGCAACTTCTCTCTAGCTGGCACAGACCTATAAACTTTAGTACAAAAACAAAAAAATACAGAAACTAGGTCAATTTGTTAGCTACATATTTACAGATAATTACATGATTTTTCACTCACAACTGCTAAACGCTATGAGTGAAAGAAAACTGTGCAGGTTGAATTACCCGTACTTTGGGGAAAATTCTGGGCATCAAGATACCCTTTTTCATTCATTCAGAAGTCTCATCCACTTTTTCATAACAAACTACCTACAGATGTTCAGATTAGTATATCCAGTGGGCATTCTGGTGTTTCAGTGAGGATTAACCTTTTTCTCTATTTAAAGAAGAATTCCTTGTATATTTCAAAACAAAACAATCACACAGACATATATACAAAAAAAACCAACTCTGAAACTTCAAAAAGTTTAGATTGCTGGGAAACAGTTAACAGTGATGGTGACATAGTAAATGGCTCCCCAGTTTTAATTCTCTGCCTTTATTTTCTTTAAAGGATATTTATCTTTGGGTGGGTAGGAGGTGCAAGTTTAAGAAACCCACAACAGGCAGATAAGGTGTATACTAATTTTTATATTTCTTATGATCTAAAGATTACCATTAAGCCAAATGGGGTCTCTTCCCTTGTACGAGTGAAATTTTGGAACTCTGAATACAAACGAGGAAAACATTAGTCAACATGACCTTAAAGGGGACTACCAGAATTCAGCAGAAAATATAAATGCAAATAAAGGAAGAGTTCTCAGCTTCACTTTCTTTTTCTAGACTGTTTAATAAAACTTACTTCTTTACAAATTAATAGTAACTTCCAATGTAGACTTATTGTAGTGATTTCATAAAAGTGCAGATAACATAACCAGACACAGCAAAACAGACTTCAATCAGTAGTCCTTGCATACAAGAGGCAAATCTGCTCAGGTGTACAGCCAACTCTTCATCCTTTAAGGAATCTGAGGATGGGAAATTTCCAGTTCTTAAAAACTAAGAGTGAGTGAATCTCTTTTAAAAGGCAGTGCTACAATCTGGTTGGGGGCTTTATCACGTTAGATGGGGGAAAACAAAATAGAGAATTTCTTTTCTTTAAAAATGGTCTGTATTTTGGTAAAAAGCTCAAAGATGCCAGCCCAAGTTTTGACATTGCTCCTAGAGATGGCTCTTTTCTAAGATATGAGAACCTCTTCTTCCATCCTTATAGGAAATTCAGACTTACATACCTTAAATATATTATTTTTTGACTTGAATACACAACAAGACACTTCACATTGTGAGCACACGACAAAATGCAGGACCATATAAATCTCCAAGGAAAGAGTTAATGTGTTGGCCAAAACCATACTTGAACAGTAGTGGCTCAGAAGTGGTGGAAGGTGCACAAAGAAATTACTAGCAAGCAAGAAGAGGCAGGTAAAGGGAGAAAGCCCCTCACCCAATATCAAATCCTTCTCTCCCAGTGGCCATTTCCTGTTGATTTTACAGTTTAGGAGAATCTTAGATGCTTTAGCAGTAATTCCTTTCTTGGCTGTTTTGATCCTCAGCAAAATTGTAATTATTAGTATTAATGGAGTAAAAATAAGAGGATCAATGGTATCACTACTAAGAAATACATACAGAAAGCACATAAAAATTGTGTGATTTATTGTTTGTTTGTTTTTTTTTAATCATCTTTGCAGAGGAATCACCACCAGTGTTCTTACTTTCCATGGTTCATTTCTCTCTGCATTACTTATCTTTTATTGGATCACAACACAAACTCACAGAAACACTAACTGGCTCCTTCCCCAGCACCATTTTACTGCATTGCAACTTATGATTCCAAATTTTACATAACATCCTCTCCATTCACACAAGTGCTAAGAGGGGATTAAAAAGGAAAAAATTGCATCTAATGACCACCTTCTCACAAATATCAACGCAGAGAACTCATTCTTAAGAAACACATGCATTCTTGCCTTAACTGAGGACTGAAATAACAAAACCAAACAAAAATAACAACTTTTAAGTGCCCTGATGGAAATGTACAGTATGAGTTACATCCATCCATCTATCTATACACACATAAAGACACTCATATGTATATACAATATATACATACAAATGATAATAACTATACCAAAAATGTGCATATTTAACACAGTTTTAAAAAGCCAGTAGATCATGGTATAATACAATTTATTTCCACTAGTGAATGGCACAAATGGAGAAATGCAAAGGAGGTGTTTCAAGTACAATGAAGTCATTTTTCACAGGTGAAAATAAATAGTATTATTCCAGTGTCCAACACAATGTATTCTATAAAAGTTTAAAATACCAGACATTTAGTACTTACAGAAATAGTTACTAAAGTCTGTTTTATGGTCTGAAGAAGACACTCATAGAGTTTTCAATTTTTGAAAAGGGGGTGAGAAAAAAATTGGTGGAAGTAGGAGGGAGTGTCCAGGATAGTTTCTTTAGTGTACTGAATGTTTACCTGATGTCTAGGCAACCAAAAATCATAATGACTATGCTAAAAAGTTCCATTTACCAATAAATCCTTGACCTGGAGTACTAAGTATATTACAATAGTGTATGTGTGGCTTCAAATGCAGGATTCTTTATCTCTAGGTATTGAAATGGCCATTAAGAATTGCAGCTCTGAAAATATAAACACATTTTTTAGATAACATTATACAAATAAAAATACTTCTGGATACTAGAATTTGGGGTTAGAGCTGACTTCAATTAGGGGAGGAAAAATATGTGCAAAGGGAAGGGAGCTCAATTTGGAATAATATATTTTAAAGTATGCAGCTTTGCATTTTTAAAATGCTAACCGAAAAAATGGGAGAGTGACCCCAAGGAAGTTTTTATAGCCAGCCTCTGGATACCAGATATAGCATTTACAACTTCTGATATGCTAGACAAATTTTCCATACTTTTAATTTTTTTAAACACATATAGTGAGTGAACACCAACACTGGGAAGGAGGTAGTGTTAATTTGATCAAATATTGATATTTGCAGAGATTCAGAAAGTGCTTGCTCTTTCTCTAGGGTATCTCAAAACCTTTCCAATTTTTCTGCTATAAGATTTACTCTGTGATGGTTCCTACTACGTATGAGATTCCCCAGAAGCTAGATCTCACAAACATAAACCAATTAATTTGAATCATTTTTGCAAACTATATATACTTTAATTAACTTCATAGTAAAATCCAGGTATAGTCATCACCTACATGTAAAACTGGTGGCCAATTAAGTGAGATGCAAAACCCTACCTGATAAACATTTGGATTCAGTATTAAATCAGGCTTTTTGTAAGTACTTGTGATCTGAATGGAGTCAGTAACCCAATTTGACTTATTTAAGTCCACAACTGGACTTTAAAATGTACCATCAGTAGCACTGTGGGTTTGAAAAGCGTTTTGTATGCAAAACTGATCTGCTTCCCTATTCCATCCAGTAGGACAGAGGTGCCAGATCTATGAATAATTTTTAAGGGTATCAAATTCCATTATATTTTTGACATTGTACTAAATTCTAAAGCTCTCTCTTATTTTACACCAAATAGGTAGATTTCTCAATTTGTTGAAAACACTACAATACCTGAATGCAAAAAAGATACTGAGACGACTGAAAGCCCCTTTCATTAATATGACAAGTACGTGTCATGTTTACCTAAACACTGGTGACCTGGAGCATGGCTGAAAGGACAGCACATCAGAGTGCTTCTTCAAACACTGCCTAAAATTTTGTGTGAACTCTATGGTGATCTTGGTTTTAAAAACATTTACATTAAAACATTAGTTTTCTTCCAGTTTCCCTAAAATGAATCCTCAGAAACTCCTACAAGTGAGGATTCATGGTGATTCGACTGACATACCTGGGGAAGACTTAAAATTTGGTTGAGCAAACCAGGACTTCAACAGCGATAGCCTAATTACTAATTGGTCATTAGTTTGGTCTAGGCAAAGAGTGTCATTGAGAGGGACTTAGAGTTCTACCTTGGAGCCCCTGACTATAGGAAAAGCAGGATCCAGAGTTAGCAGCAAGGATTCTTCAAGACAACTTGGAAGGGAGCAGGACAGTAACTCATAAGAAACTCTTGATTTGTCACTGAAAAGGATATTTTTCTTCAAGTCATACAGCTTCCTACCCACCTCCAACTCAATTTCTATACAAGAAATGGAAAACCAAGAAAACAACTGACTTTTTAGCATTGGGTTCATCCTTCATTGTACAACAAAACAACGAAACAAAACGTGCCCCCTGAAAAAAAGTGTTAGCTTTTGTCAAGAGATTCCCTGACCACTATAACTTACTTTTACCTTTTTTTTTAATTGGCCAAACTTCCTAGTTCCTTTTCAGTAGTACTTTAGCACTGGGCTTGAGACTTGTTAAAGTGGTGTTTCCTATTGTGTGGTGTTAACATGATGCCAAATGGTCACTAAGTCTCAATGAACTAGAAGTTTGTTAAGTACTGCAGCAACGAAAACAGCAATTAAAAACAGAGGACCTGCACATGCAGCAAAATCTACAGTGGTGATGAGGATCAGTCAGCAGCTGGTAAAGTCACTGGCTCAGTGACTCTTGGTTCACTGTGGCAACTAAACATTTAAATAATTGGCTATTCTACTTGTAAACAGAAAATCCCATAAGCCAAAAGGAGACAATAATCATGTTTATGTAGTGTGATAAGAATTTCAATAGATGGCAATTTGCAAATATGGCATCATTCAAATACCTCTGGCATTTGATTTGTATTGGCTGTATGTCTTTGTTTTTGTACAAACAAAAGTACTGTTTGGGGTCTTGGGCAGTAGAGAGCTTAGCTAGGATGAGATATCACAGTATAAGCAACAAAACGTCAGGACGTGTAAGCTTCATCTCCTCACTCTGCTGCGGGACATACCCACCATATGAAATTTTAGGGCCCCTTCACCCTTCTGTCTTCCCCATTGAAGGCTCACAGGTTTGTTAATGTAATCCCCACATAACTTGTCATCTCCTTAAGTACCCCCATCTCATTGAAATACAAAGAAGGCACAACTAAATGGACAAAAATCACTCACAAGCCTATGACGCATTCAGGAAAAAAAAAAAAAAAACTAATTTGTTTTCTACTCTGAAAAAGTCAATGCAGTCCTTTAGTGTTTATGGATTTCTGCTTTTTTTAGTCCAAATGAGGCTGAGAAGTCAGATCAATTTAATAACAAATACATTGGTGAGGGGATGCAGGTATGTACCAGTAATAACTTATTTCAACATATGCTGCCTGCTGTGAGTGGCTCATAAGAATTTGGGATATGGAAGAAGGCTTTAGATCTTTTCAGAAACTTCTTAGGGTACAAACACCCAAAAGTGATGACTGAAGCCACTTTGCTGTGTTTTATTTTTGCAGTGTTCAGAAAATATCCCCTATCTAGCCAATTCTTCTCACCACATGCATAATATATATGTATGTGTGTGTGTGTATATATATATGTATATATACACACACATACACACACACATTTATTTTAATATCAATTCCACTTTTCAAAATTTCCCCAAAAGTTAAAAAAACAAACCCGGCAGCCAAGTACTATGACATCCCAATTAGTAAACACAAAACAGAACGCTTTACAAAAATGAATAAAATATACCATATGTACTCAGCTTCCACACTGTAGTACCCAAGTGAGGAGGCTGCTGTGACGATGTCTGTAGGCAGTTTCTTTTGGCAGACAGCTCCAGCGGAATTGCCACTCTCAATTATTAAGTTATGTATAAGACATGTGTGACCCATTGGATATTTGTGAAGTGACACTCGTGCTTCTGCTCATGCCCTGCTCCGTCCGTCCCCCAGAAGCTGTCCGCCTCAGAGCCTGGGGGCTATTGCGGACTCCCATACTGCTACCTCGAGGTACCCCTTGCATTGGCCCTGAGGGGTGACCCCATGGCTGGGGTCCACCTTGCATTGGATGGCCCCAAGCTTGTGGTGGGCCACCAATGGGATGACCCCAGTGAGGTCCTGGACCCCCAGTAGGGTTATGTGACCAACCAGAAGCTCCCGGGTAGCTGTGGCTGAATGCCTCAGGGGAGAGATTAGAAAGGACCATATTACTAAAACCTAGTCTCATGCTTTCAGAGTCAAAAGCTTCAATTTCTCTGGCTTGACGTTCCAACAGGCTTCGTATTCGTTCTGTGCGCTCATTTTGCAAAGCCAACATCTCTTCTTCAATCTGTTGAAGGTTGGACAAAGGAAAAAAGCCAATTTATTTTTTTTAAGTCTATAAATAATTATTCAGCTTTGAAGTGGCTATTTTATGGATGTATATTTGTCCATGAGTTTCAAATTTGATTTAAAATTTTTGCCTTTATTTATTTATTTAGGGACAGAGTTTCGCTCTTGTTACCCAGGCTGGAGTGCAATGGCGAGATCTCGGCTCACTGCAACCTCCGCCTCCTGGGTTCAGGCAATTCTCCTGCCTCAGCCTCCTGAGTAGCTGGGATTACAGGCACGCGCCACCGTGCCCAGCTAATTTTTTGTATTTTTAGTAGAGACAGGTTTTCACCATGTTGACCAGGATGGTCTCGATCTCCTAACCTTGTGATCCACCCGCCTTGGCCTCCCAAAGTGCTGGGATTACAGGCTTGAGCCACCGCGCCCAGCCTCAATTTTTTCCTTTGTTAAAAATTTGTTTAAGTTTTTATATGTTCAGGGAGTACAACTGCAGATTTTTTTACATGCATATATTGTATAGTGGTGAAGTCTGGGCTTTTAGTGCACCCATAACTTGACTAGGGAACAATATACTCAATAGGTAATTTTTCAATCCTCACTCATCTCCCACACTCCCACCTTCTGTAGTCTCCCCAGTGTCTATTATTTGATGCTATGGATATACATTTAAAAATCAAAGGAGACATCCCTTAGAAGTCAGCATAATTTATATTTTTAAAATGTGTAAAATGAAGTCCTTTATTTTGATTTATTTTCACTTTTTTTTTTTTAAATAGAGACAGGGTTTCACCATGTTGGTCAGGTTGATCTCGAACTCCTGACCTCAGGTGATCCACCAGCCTCGGCCTCCCAAAGTGCTGGGATTATAGGCGTGAGCCATCCCACCCGGCCTAAAATGAAATTCTTTTTTTGTTTTTTGTTTTTTTTGAGACAGAGTCTCGCTCCGTTGCCCAGGTTGGAGCTCAGTGTCACTATCTCGGCTCACTGCAACCTCTGCGAACCTGGTTCAAGCGATTCTCTAGCCTCAGCCTCCCAAGCAGCTAGGATTACAGGCGTGTGCCACTGCATCGGCTACTTTTGTATTTTTAGTAAAGATGGGGTTTCACTGTTGGCCAGGCTGATCTCAAACTGCTAACCTCAGATGATCCGTCCACCTCAGCCTTCCAAAGTGCTGGGATTGGGGATTTGAGATAATATGGGAAATTTGGACATGCATTTTTTGTGGGGGGATGGAGTCTCGCTCTGTCACCCAGGCTAGAGTGCAGTGGCATGATCTCAGCTCACTGTAACCACCACCTCCCAGGTTCAGGTGATACTCCTGCTTCAGCCTCCCAAGTAGCTGGGACTATAGGTGCGAAATACTGTGCCCAGCTAATTTTTGTATTTTTAGTAGAGTCGGGGTTTCACCATGTTGGCCAGTTTGGCTTCTAACTCCTGACCTCGTGATCCGCCCGCCTTGGCCTTCCAAAATGCTGGGATTACAGGTGTGAGCCACCGTGCCTGGCCTAGACATGCATTTAAAAATTATTATTAATTAGTGGCAGAGGTGGGCGGATCACAAGGTCAGATTTCACCATGTTGCCCAGGATGGTCTGAAATTCCTGAGCATATACCTCTAATCAAAGTGCTGGGATTAGAGGAATCAGCCACTGCACCCACCCCCAAATGTTCTTACTTAAAAAAACTGCTAACCATGATGTTGACACTAAGTGAAATCTTGAGAGAAAATTAAATGAGATGATAAAAAAAGGCCATTTATGCTCTGGAAATACTACTTTATGTATCTCTCTCTCTCTCTCTCTCTCTCTCTCTCTCTCTCTCTCTCTGTGTGTGTGTGTGTGTGTGTGTGTGTGTGTGTGTGTGTATTTTACATAGAATTTAACATTTATAGTTGTACTGTTAACTAAAAATTTAAATGAAGGATGAGAAAAGTTGAAATAAGACTTCATGCACATGTGAGGCTCAACCTAAATGAACAATTTTTGGTTCACTTGCAGGCTTACAGCAATCTTCAAACAATGATTTTTCACCTAGAATCATCTAACATTCACTCCAGTTCCATTTCTATTTATTTTCAGATGTCTCCCTCTGATCTGTAGGTACAACCAGCAAGCATAAAGTGCAGAAATTACAGCTTTTAGGGTTTTACCAAGTTTTTCTAGAGAGGGTACAGGGTCTTAGTGATTGCTAATTGACCCCAGCCTGCCTTGTAGTCACGTACTTCACTTGAAAGGCAAAATATTCTCCATAAAAACCAAGTAATATCTTGAAGTACTATAGATGTATCATCTTACTGTTCTTTTATTCCTTCAAATACTAAATAATTGTATGCATTTTTCCATTATGAAATAAATCCATATTTTAAAAAAGAAACAAAAAAAATCAATCTATCACATTAACATAGCCATTACTAACATTACTTCAAGTAGGATTTGCCTTTTAAAATTTTGTTCAACACACCATAAACATTTTTCCTTATTAATACTGTTTTTGCAGACATCATTTAAATGGCTGAATAAGATTTTATTATTGGTTTGGTCATATTTACTTAATTGTATTTCTATTTAAATAACTCGTTTTAAACTATAATGAAGTTGTTATAAATAACATATTTGTTTTTTCTGTAATTTGGATTTATTTTCCTTTGAATAAGTTCTCAAAGTTTTAAACAGTTAACATTTACAAGGTGAAATATACAACTCCAGGCTGGAAACAGTGGCTCATGCCTGTAATCCCAGCACTTTGGGAGGCCAAGGTGGGCAGACTGCCTGAGCCTAGGAGTTTGAGACCAGCCTGGGCAACATGGAGAAACTCCATTTCTACCCTTGTCCCCTCCAAAAAAAAAATCAGTGGTCATGGTGGCGCATGCCTGTAGCTGTGAGGCTGAGGTGGGATGACTGAGTGAGCCTGGGAGACGGAGAATGCAGTGAGCTATTGTACCACTGGACTCCAGCCTGGGCAACAGAGTGAGACTTCATCTCAAAAAAATAACAAACAAGTATATATGCATACAACTCGAAATTGCTTTCCAAGATGTATTAGCTATATATAAATGTCACTGTACCTTCACCAATGAGTACTGATTTTAAGCCTACATTGTAACGGTTTTGTATTAACGTGCAGTTTTTGGTTAGTATATTAAATAAGACTAAGACCCTAATTAGTGCTGTTAACCGTTAACCACTAGGTGGAGCTAAAATTACAATTATACTTTAATAGTGCTAATAGTTTTTTCATAACACCATTCTTCAAATACTATAGGGAGTTTTCCATTTAGTGATAATACTGAAGCCTAAGAGACAACTTTAGATTAAATTTTAAATATAAAAGTTGGAATGAGACAGATTTAGGAAATCTGTATATGGAAGAAACTATGGTTTTTCAAAATTTATGTTTCTTTCTCATCTTTTTTTTTGAGACTTGGACTCTTGCTTTGTTGACCAGACTGGAGTGCAGCAGTGCAATCTTGGCTCACTGTAACCCCTGCCTCCCAGGTTCAAGGGATTCTCTTGCCTTAGCCTCTAGAGTAGCTGGGATTATAGGTGCCTGCCATCATGCCTGGCTAATTTTGTATTTTCAGTAGAGAGAGGGTTTTGCCATGTTGGCCAGGCTAGTTTTTAACTCCTGACCTCAGGTGATCTGCCCCACTTGGCCTCCCAAAGTGCTGGGATTTCAGGCGTGAGCCACTGTGCTGGCCTTTAGATAAAATTGAGATAATATTTAGATGCAACTATCTCTCAAAGAAGCCAGTAATATAGTCATGCTAGAGAAATAGTAACATCTCATAACTTATTTAGGTGATTTTTTTTTTAAGATTTTTTTTTTTTTTTTTTTTTTTTTTTGAGACAGGGTCTCGCTTTGTCACCTAAGCTGGAGTGCAGTGGCATGATCTCAGCTCACTGCAGTCTCAACTTCCCGGGCTCAAGCGATCTTCCCACCTAAACCTTCCTAAGTAGCTGGGACTATAGGTTTGTGCCACCACACTTGGCCAATTTTTAAATTTTAGTAGGGACATGGTTTCTCCAGGTTGCCCAGGCTGGTCTCGAACTCCTGAGTGCAAGCGATCTGCTCGCCTCCACCTCCCAAGTGCTAGGATTGTAGGCATGAGCCACAACACCCAGTTTAAAAGGTATTTTTTACTTTAATAAGGCATTCTATTTTTATCAAAAGAACTATAGGACATAGAGGAAAAATCTACAGGCCTATGGTCCAGAAATAATGACAGCCTTAGATTAGGTAAGTATTAAATGCAATGACCAATGGACCTAAGACTACATCAGCTGTTGGGAATTTAAGACTCAAGAATTCTGGAATGTATCTCTGAATCCCGGATATAATTGATAATTGACCACTGTTTTATTTATTTATTTTGAGATGGTATTCTGCCTTGTTGCCCAGGCCAGAGAGCACTGGTATAGCCATGGCTTACTGCAGCCTCAAACTTCTAGGCTCAATCCATCTTCCCACCTCAGCCCCACAGGAGCAAGCTACCACACACAGCTAATTTTTAAATTTTTTATAGCGATAGGGTCTCCCTATGTTGCCCAAGCTGGTCTCAAACCCCTGGGCTCAGACAATCTTCCGGACTTGGCCTCCCAAAGTGCTGGGAGGCCACTATGCCCAGCCTAACCTACCACTTCTTGCAACAAATACCTTTCTTCTCCTTACCTCTCAAAATCTTTTGTCCATCACCCTTTCCCCAATATGCACACACACCTTAGTATCCTGAAGGATGGAAATGAATTTCGGGATTCTAGTTCTATTTTCTAATGTATCTGACAAGAATAATTCAGAAAAAGTAAAGATGTGCATCTAGAAATAACATTTTTTTCAGCCTGAATTTTCACCTGTGTGGAACTGATTTTACCTTCTGTCCCTCAGTAATCCTCTACCAATCTGTATAGCCAAGGACATATGAGTATAGTATATATTCCTGATCTTTTGTCCCTGCCTCTCTCAGGCAATTAATGCAGCTCTCTTTCTTCACTATTTAAGTCTTTCTCTGACCTCCTTAGGTAGAGCAAGCTAGGTACACACAAGTGAGGAGCAGGGAGCCAAAGCTGCTACTCTCAAATTCAACTGACTGTCTTTATACACCATATCTTTTCTCTAGCAATTACTACTTAATTATATTCCCTTGATTTTTAGAGCTCATTAATGATAAAGTTCATCAGTGAATCAATAATTTTAAAGAAAAACCTGCTGTGATAACTAGAATTCAGGAAATGTGGTATTGTGAAAAAAATCTAATGTGACCTCTGCCAACATGAAAATATATTGATAAAAGCCAAAAAAATAAAAAAAAAAAAAAAAAAAAAAAAAAAAATCCTTCATCAGCTGGGCGTGGTGGTTCACACCTGTAATCCCAGCACTTTGGGAGGCCGAGGAGGGTGGATCACCAGGTCAAGAGACCGAGACCAACCGGGCCAACATGGTAAAGCCCCGTCTCTACTAAAAATACAAAAACTTAGCCAGACATGGTGGCACATGCCTGTAATCCCACCTATTTGGGAGGCTGAGACAGGAGAATCGCTTGAACCCAGGAGGCGGAGGTTGTGGTGA